ATCTTGGCGCAACAAATTTTTCCTGCTCGGCAAGAAATGAATATGAAAAATACACGGATAATGCAAAATTGTTTGAACTAAACAAAAGTAAGTGACTATAAACCAGATAAGATCGATTGTACAAAATACAATTTTTTTACATGAATGTTTTTTCTATTTAGATTTGGTCCTGAATTCAATTTCATCGTTTCAACTTTACGGCAAATCAGAGTCAGACAAAAGAAATTATACTGACGCAAAACGGTACTGTACCTCCATGGGTAAATCACTCGCAATTATATCAAACAGCCAGACTCAAGAATTACTTAAAACAAAAGCTGAAAACCTCGGAATCTCAGCGTTTTGTGAGTAAATACGTTTTTTAGCTTTATAATATATACTACTAATATATATATATATATATATATATATATATATATATACATATATACAGGTACTCAAAAAAAGATTTAAACGTAAATGGAATTTATACTATTAAGTGGGTATATTACAACAAATTGAAGTGTTTAACAATGAGGCAGTTCCACTTTTTGAATGCATTTTTAATACGATTATCTGTCAATTTGTAACGATTGTTATTGTAAAACTGATTAGTGTATCTTGGAGCGCAAAGAATGACAAAAGGTAGTGAAAATATTTGGAGATGGAATTCTGGATCTTTGTTGTACAACGAGACAAAATATGGACCGTGAGTTATTTTCTGTCGCGAATAAAATGTAGGAATTGTGCGTAACTGTTAATTATTAAGTTTCCAACAGAAAGTTGTTTTTAGTATTTCACAGAACTATTGGCCCTCATAAGTTTGACATTAAGGCTTGAAACTGTATCCATTATATTACTCATTCCTTGAATTCAGATGGAAGTCTGAACATGGTAATATTGTAGATGGAACGTATGTTGCGTGGGGAAATGGTAGACCGTTGACGAATATGAATTGTTTAGTAATGAGAAAAACTTTCCAATGGCGATGGGCTGACGGAGACTGTGCAGAAACAAGAGGATTTATTTGTGGGGGACAATGTGAGATAATAAGTTTTGCATAATTGAATAAAAAATGAGTTATAAGTAGTTACATGTGTATGTACAACAATAATCAAATTTGTACGGGAAGACCCGAAAAAAATTGAACCCATACAGTATCCAGTTGCACATACATCTGTTCGATGAATTTCGAAAATGATCAATTGACCCTGAAATTGTACGGTTGCAAAGCACTTTAATAGTTACAATTTCACCCTTTTCATCATCCTTTAAAAATGGAGAAATCTTTGTATCCTAACTGTAGATTTAAAATACAATGGTATTTAACGTAATTTCATATGATAAGTTTGATAACTGTATTTGTCTATAGTGGAGGAGATTCCTCTTGACTTTCATGTAAATTTGGCAAAATGCTCTTCGAATATCACCGTCCAATGGACTCCGTCGAACAATGCATTGGGAGTGAGACACAGGTTTGTGCGTTTTGATTTTGAAATCAAGATCTTTTACTATAGAAAACTATTTTAAAATTTGATTATATCGTGAATGGAAAATTTATTGTGAATTTGTTCCAGTCATTGCCTATTTTTTTTTATAAAATTCAAGGGAATAGTTTTCCAGTAGTTAGTATTTATATAAGCAAGTGCGTATTAGGAATTTTCTGTTTACCATGCGATTGATATTGATTTTAAGTGACAGTTTTTACAAAAAATTTATTACTAAATAATTTTATATGTGAAATATTTTTACTTCATTTGCATATGATACAGGGTTCAAATCGAACGTGTATCTTCGATGGAAAAGAAGGTAATTAACAATACCGACATTACGCCTCTTCTACAGAACGTAATAAACAATACGTTTGTGGGGTTGAATTTCTCAACAACTTACAACGTAAAGGTGGGTAACATAAAATATATATATTATAAGAATAGATAGATAGATTCCAAGAATAGATTGATCGATGTAAGATACGTGACATTGGGTTGCAGGACTATCAGCAACTTCAAGCTCTTTGTATAAATAAACCATTTCCTAGAATTATAAAAATAGCAGCATGAATTAAGAGGTATCACATTATTATAGGCTGAAATGTTTACAAAAAAATTTAATCTAAAAACAATAAATTTTGAAGTGCATCAGAAAATTCGAAAAATACGAGAATTTCATTACTAACAAGTTGAATCAATAACAACAAATCGCTATATTCCCATGTAAGCATTTTTTTGTTTTCAGGTAATTGTGTGTCCTGAATTGTGCAAATATCCGCATATTACTACGAAGACAATAACTACGGATGCAACAATACCTGGCCCTGTAAAAGCTTTCAATATCACACACGTAAAAGAAAACAACACTTGCCTTATTCAATGGGAAATGGACAACACACATGGCATTACGGAATTTTATGTATGTTTGTGATACGAAAACGACAGGCTTTTGTTTAATTAAAAACAAATTCATAACATTTTATTCTAAAAGTTTAAACGTAACTTTCAGTTGTCCAATATGAATGATATTCTCCCTATTAAGTCATTGGCATTATGAACTTTTGAAAAAAATAACACAAATTTTACCTTGTTGAACAGGTGAAAGGAATATCATTCTTTGTCTACGTAGCATCTACAAAATCTACACCTAAACAAACTGTTCTAGATAAGAATATTTCAGCGGAGGAAAGATATTTCATTTTTTCCAACATGTCATTTAATCGAAACTACACATTCAGTATTTCTGCTCGGACATGTGCTGGTACTGGACCGGGTATATTTGCTGTCGGAAATTGCAAGACAGAGAGAGCAGGTTTAAGCAATTTAATATATAATCTACCCAAATGATTTGATTTTTGCGGGACTAACTACAGCACGTCTTCCATGCTTTTGTGCCGACGGATCCGTATGCATATTATGCAAGGATGCTGTAGCAAAGTAAAGATAACTATCCGATAACATAACCAAGGTCAGACGAAACGTTACAGAATTATATTTGTGATAGAGTGCAACAAGACTATTGAATCAATTAATATAATTTAGAATATAGATTGTGACAATGCTTCAGTACAATAAATACCGGATTAAAACCTCATTGATGGAAAATTAAATTTGCTTGGCAAAGTGGTACCTATTTAAAGTAAAGGACTTTATGTAAAACTGGTCTAACAGTCGTTGTATTTTAGCACCAGCTATAGTTAGCTCTCCGATTGTGGCCACTGATTCAGGCGGTGATGGAACGATTCCAATTAGGATCAATTTAACGGACGAAAGTAATGGACCTATCAGGTTATTTTAAGTCTTTATTGAAAAATAACTCGCTTTAGATTTTTATTTGGCACGAAGGGGACCTATTCTTATTGTTGCTCTTGTAAACCAAAACGCTTTTCTTCTCGACTACACTACCAAATGCTTTGAAATTTTCAGTGATTAAAGATTGGTGTAGTCGCCAGAAAGTTATTAGCCTACGTTCATTTATTTTAAAATGATTCAATCAATTTACCGCATATGAAAAATTTCACAGTTGCATATTTGTTATTGTCGTATTCAAACCTGAAAAATCGACTTCGATGACATTTGAAACCGCAGAAGATCTACGAAATATAAAGGGCAAAATTTTGAATACCAATGAAGCTTTCATCGCTCTTGCGATTTCCAGGTAATTTTACAATTCTTCCCTTCCCTTATTCGATTTACGAGTCTCCATCCATCTTTTATAATCATGACCCCCCTGACATTATTTTAGTGTAAATGCACATACATACAAAACCATCAAACATTTTCTTTCAATTTTTCAAAATACATAGTAATATAATATAAAAAATTTTGATGCTATGTAATATTTTTATTTATTTACAATCAAATTTACGTATCTATACGTATTCAAAAACAATCATTTTCACTCATTCAATATTAAAAAATCGATCGAACATATCACTGTCTGAAACTCCATAAAGCTAATTAATATATCTCATTACAGAGCAAGCATTTCAAACGAAATCGGAAACATGCTTTACATAACAAGAACATTGGGTGATGAAAGCACATCTGATTGCAACATATATCATGTAAACGAAGTGAATCGGATGAAACGAGAAGCTGGTTTTGATGGAAACATTCAAGCAAATAACTTGAAATTGGAAAACGAAGCTGAGTACAGGTTCCTATTGTTCTTATTAAAACGGAATGCTTTGCTATGGATGACGTTATCTAAACACTATTAATTTCAGCTACTACGTTGTAACTTCAACACCAGGAGATGGAAATAAAACACTGATCAAAGCGAGTGAAGTTTCCTATTTTACCAAAATTACACCTACGTCTCGTAAGTCTGAACAAAATATTTTGCTAACATTTTTCCAAAGTAAAAAGTTCAATATCTCGTATTTTACTTGCGTAAAGAAACTTTCTCATGACAATAATTTTTTTTTGCAGCGACGCTTGTTATATTTATTATCATCGTCTGTGTTGTAATTGTTGGGTTTGTATTTATGGGGATATATTGTCATAGAAGGTAAGTGATATTTATTTTAAAGTCAACCAAAATTTTCTAATTTTGTCAAAGATTTAACAATACAAAAATTCTCGATACCACCACTTATTTTCAAAGTACGTTTGACGTCTTGTCATTGAAGGAGATGTATGCAAATCCAGAGTCTTGTCGCGGGACACTAAACTCCAATCACATAAAAATTTATGCCTATTGCGCCCCATGGAACTTGAAAATCCTAGGAACGAGCCCGCTGCTATTAAATAAAAAAAGCTATTAGTATTCATCCTATATCATGCCGCAAAATTAATAATTAATAGGCATATACAGAAAAAATGTTGATAAAAAACTGACAAAAAGTAAAAACCAAATGTAGCTATGACGTTATCACGTTGACATGACGAATAAAATGTGTGTTATCCAATCCATTGAGACGTTTTACATAGATATAACAATCTCACGCCTGCAAATCCATACCATTTTGATTCTTTGTTAGAGTTATTGATGACGTGTATTATGTCACTTTGCATAGAAAACTCGGACGAAAGAAAATGTTCATAGATGACGTGAATATGCAAGAATTACAAGATAATGTGAATGATGGTAATTTTGATTTATGGCTTCATGAGCGTCATTCAATTGTACTCTGCTGTTCTGAGGCCTTAGATTTTTAGTTATGGGGTTTACAAACAAATTAATTAAACGATTTGTGCAATTTCTTTAGTATACTGCAATTGCATAATTCAAACTGCATAGCAAATGTATTTCATTTTCTAAGACCCCTTGTACGCAAATATCGCAATGGATAAAATGGAACCGAGGTCACCTTACGATATTCCACTTGAGCAACTTCTTGAAAGGTACAATCGTTTAAATGAAAAAGATGGTGCAAAATTTATAGAAGAGTTTCAGGTACGTTTAACATGATAGACCCAAACACAAATAATTTTTTGCACGCTAAATTTTAATTGTCGTCAATTGATACAGAATCTTAAATCAGACGCAAAAGGACTGAATTACCCCACAACAGTCGCTTCCTCTGAATCACTGAAGGGCAAAAACAGATACAAGAATATACTACCCTGTAAGTTTATGATATTTTGGACTTATGATATCAATTCCTAAAATCAAATGTATACTTAAAATGCGAAAGGCAAGCTTCAAATAAAATAAATAAAAAATGTGATCTTCTGGCAATGTTTTCAGATATCCAAATATACATTGTGTTCATAAAGTTCCTTTACTGTTTTTAAGTTTGTTATGAGTCAGTTCTCAACATATCCTCAATATAACCAGGTTTGTTGTTTCCAATCAGTAATTGCTCAAATATAATAAATCTGTGAGGGCCAAAACAATATATGGTATAGATAAAAATCCCTTTGCAATTTTGAAAGACTTTATAGTCACCCTATATAATATATACAGGGTGGCCCAAAAGTAGGTATACAGTTATTTTATTTATTTTTTATTAGCTTCCAAGCAGCTAGAAAACTAATGTAAAATTCACACTTGATTTATTATTATATCAAAAAAAATAAGCAATTTTCGTGGTACCCAACACGTAACATAAAGTGAACTGCAAGTAGCTTCAAATCATATAAAATAGTTTAATAACTGTATACCTACTTTTGGGCCACCCTATATATAGTATTGCAGAATGAAAACTAGTATTGTAGAATAGTTAATTGTCAATTTGAAATATGTTGTTCCTGATTGCAATGTTCATTTCAACAGCTGATTTATCGCGAGTGCTTCTTGATGGGGAAGGAAATATGAGCTACATTAACGCTTGCTACATTAACGTAAGTAGTACTCATTAAATGTTGCAACGTGAAGTTTTTTGGAGAAATTCCCTTCAATAAAAATTGTTTTAATTTATTTTTTTTCAAGGGATTCACTAAAGCAAAGAAGTTTATTGCTACACAAGGACCGTTGCCAAGTACAGTAAATGACTTTTGGAGAATGATTGTTGAGCAGAAAGTATCCTGCATCGTCATGTTAACGAAATGTGTGGAAAATGGAAAGGTGAGAAAGATTACTACTTGATAGAGCAATTAAACTTGTCTCAGTCTAAGTCCTTTATATGAATACAAACAAAGCAAAAAGGCTTCAGATTTAACGATGCACAAAGTATTTGAGAGGTTTGAAGAGAAATGTCTTTTAGTCCCTTTGACGTGAGTCCACCGAAATTTAATATTCCATATTGAATTACATCAAATATGTGAGTTGATTGAATTTCAAAGCCGATGAACAAAAAAATAAAAAAAATAGAATAAATATTTATTATTAAATGAACATTTCATTACAGAAAAAGTGTGTGAAATACTGGCCTTCTCAAGGTTCGCCTAAACAATTTGGAGATGTATATGTTGAAAATATAAACGAAATATTCACGGGTTGCTACAAAATGTTTACAATAACAATCACAAAAAAGGACAAACAGGTGAATGATCAATAACATATTTTAAATTATTCCAAAGCCTTATTGTAATTCCCAAATAATATAGACAAATTTCGATTGTTACGATATTTATATATGATATATAGACAGATGGACTAGGTCAAAATGTAAAAAACGAAGAGCTTCCCGAGGAGCAAATGCCGTTAAAATTAATTCTTTTCGTTCACAACAACCCTACTCACCTAATTTTGTTTGTTAGCAATCATTCAATTTCATCAGATAGAAAGAAAGTAAGGAGTAGAATGTCTTTTTTATGTTTACGAAGCTTTTTCTAGAATATAATAAATAATTATAATTAAAATAAGATCATCATCATTCATCAATTTATTCAATAGAGTATGAAAGTAGTTCTGCTCCAATACTTAAATTGGCCTGATCACGGAGTGCCAGTTACAACAACAAATTTGATGAGGTTCCATGGAATTGTCAAAAAACACCAATCAAATGCACCAATAGTTGTTCATTGCAGGTGAAACCTATACATTTTTACACAAAGCGTATACACGCCTTCGCTCTAGTAAGAAAGCCCTCGTACAAACAGCAACCGATGTGTAACCTATTTTTGGAAGAATTTCATAAGATGCCGACGTGTACTTATTTTGCCTCCGGCTAATCAAAAAGAGCGGGGAAACCCTTTAATTATATTAGAACATTGTTTTCTGACGCATTCAGGAAAGTGTTGAGAATAGTAATTGTTTAGTAGTTACTTTTTTTGTAAATATTAACGTTAACAATTTCAGTGCTGGAGCGGGAAGAACTGGCGCATTTATAGCATTAGATTTTTTGCTTCAAGAGAGTGAATCACTTCGATCAGTTGATGTTTACAATTGCATTTTAAAGCTGAGGGAGCAGAGAGTAGATATGGTGCAAACATGTGTAAGTGCTAAATTAAATATAATACTGAGTAATCCACTTCGTGCTATACAATTCTGCGAACTTTCGTTATATATAATGGACATAAACAACGGGAAAACTTTTACTTTTAACTTATTTATTACCTACAAATTTTCTCATCAACAACTCAAACCAACTAGGTAAATTGGTGTATAAACGCTAATTTAGCAATGGTTTGTCATTTCAATTTGTGAAAGCTGCCAGACTATATCAAATACGAAGCAATGTCGCGGTGCATAAGCTTATCAATTACTCTGGACCAACTTTATGAATTAGTGTGTAACCTTTAATCAAGCGACATTCTTCTGGTTAAATATTTTAATTTGTGATTGCTCTTTGACGATATCAAATTACATTTCTATGTATCTATCATGTTTCGATATTTGTTGTTAGGATCAATATATCATGGTGCACAAGCTTATTTTGGAGAATTATTTGTTTGGAAAAACGGATATGAAATCGGAGAAACTGAATAGTTTTCTGGCCAGGTAATCAGGTTTTACAAAATGTGCTGATCAAATAAATGGAAATGTAAACTAAATGAAATCATAGAAATTGCACTGTAGTTAAATTTCCATAAGTTAAACAGTCTTTTTGATTATTAACTTATTAATTAGCATTGTTTGCAACTTTTCATTCATTACAGAGTTTCTTCTGATATTGGGATTTTGCAAAAACAGTTTAACGATCTTGTTAGAGTAGGACCAGGGGATCAGGCAAAGCAGGGAGAGGTAGCAAAACATCCAGAACTGAACAGAAAAAAAGAAGTGATACCTTGTAAGACACATTGTAAAGTCGAACAGAGCTATTTGTACATATCAGCTTCTGCAGAGAATCAGAAATTTTACAGCGCCATTTATTGAAATTACGCAATGTTCTTACTCATAATATCGGTTCATATTCAACAATACCTTCATACATATTCATTATCATACTGCATAAGATGTTACAAATTGTCAATATTTGTTTGATCAATCCTATATAGTAACATCATATTTTTTAGTTAGAAGAAACAACATTGTAATAGACCGCAAACCGACTGAATCAGAAACTCCTTGTCTGAACGCATCAAAATTAGAAGTAAGAAATGTTTTTTAACTTCAACAATTACGGTTCATTCAACAGGATCCCGTATATCATACGGCGTAAAAGATAATAATAATATTAAGAATTTCTTTAAATTTACAACGTTATTGAAACGTTTCTATTTTTCAGTCGTATGATAATGCTTCAAAATTAATTGCTGCACAAGGTCCTCTGAAACAGACAATTGGTTTCTTCTGGCGTGCAATTCTCGACAACAATATTAACACTATAGTGATGCTAACAGAGTGCAAAGAGAATAAAAAGGTAGAAACTTGCAAAATCATTAAATTCAAAGCTATTTATAGACTTGATGAACAAAAATTATTATCATATACAATCTACATGACTACAATTGCGGGCTCCAGACCAAAAAACCTTACAATAAAAGTTCTAAGTAATACTTGCCGAATAAATACGAACGTATAAATTATTTTGGGACTTAAAATATTACACTAATGAAAACATTGCCCAAATGCATCAAAAAAAATGAATGGTATGGAATTCTGTTTCAAAATTGGTTTTTCGATGAATCAAATTGAATCAATTTTAGAAAAAAGATACCTCCCAATGTCTTCTCCGTGATTATTCAACCAAGTAAAATTGATAAACTACTACCAAAAATATCCCTCATTTCTAGTACTGATTTTTGTTATCATATTCATATTCACTTGTTGACTGCTGTAATTAATACTTGAGATATTTATGACAACAGGAACAGTGCTTTCCTTACTGGCCCAGCGACAACGAGAAAGATCTCGTGATTGATGAAATCGCTATTCATTTAAAATCTACCAGCACTGACAATGAAATCATCAAACGTGAATTACGTGTAACCAAAGAGGATGAAGAAAAGGTATATTAGTTAAGTTAATAACTGATATCCAATTTTAGTACACTTGATAATAACACATGCCACATGTCAACATGTCTATACCGTAATGCTTATTCACAAAACTGCATTAAAACTGCAGAACCGCATTAAAATTTTTACTTGTATAAGCAATCATTACTAATTGAAATATTCGTTAAGGTAATCATCCAATACCAATACACTGGTTGGGCATCAAACAAATGTCCTGATGATGCTACGGCAGTACTTGAGCTGATAGAGAAAATGCAATCAAGTGTGAGAAGAGATAGAAATTCTGCTGTTTTGGTTCATTGCAGGTGAGTGTTATATCAAGACATACAAACACAGTAAAAAATTTTGATCTTTTGTACAAAGCCGACGCCAAAAATAAATATCCTCGTCAAAGCTAAAAATTACCAATTAATCGGTTAGAGTTTGGTTGGGGGTTGAGAATGCAAACTGCGCTGGAAAGGCGATGTACAAACGATCCCGGTAATTGAATAAAACATTATCTGTAAATGCCTTATACAAAAATGTGTAACAGATGCGGTATAAAATTCCCATAAAGTATGAAACATAGAAAATTTGGAGACCTCCAGAAGTATGCGCACCAAGATGGCGCACAACCTGAACATAGTATGTGTGTGCCGGTCAGGATTCAAGTTGTGCGATATCTTGGTGCGCATACTTCTGGAGCAGCAAATTTGGAGTGAAATATCGCTTTTCGCAAGATTTAAAAAAATGGAAAAGCATATTTTTGAGTTAATACTGAAATGTGAAATCGATCGTTCCATCAGTTGCAAAAATCAGCAAAAATAGCAAAATAATAAAATGCGAATGTGGATTATTTAACAAAAAGTTCCAAGTTAAAATTTGATAATATTTAAGTAAACCAAATAATATTCCAATAATACTGAAAATTTTAAAGCGAATTTCAATAATTGGTCCGCAATAATATATAATTTACACGGTTTGTTTAGTGACGGGGCAGGAAGGACCGGAAGTTATTGTGCAATTATTAATCTAATTGAGAGATTGAAATGCGAGAGCAATATCGACGTCTTCAGAGCTGTCAAAGATCTGAGGGATTGCAGACCAGGGATGGTGCAGACATTGGTAAAATACACAGAGTATTAGTAATCGATTAGAATTAAGTACCACATATAGTAAAACATAATTCAGCTAGGTAACAAAAACAGCGTTACCTTCCTCAAGCTTGTTTTTTGTTTTTTAACATTTGTATAAAAATGTTCTTTTAATATTCAGAGGAAGGTGTTATCACCCCGGTACAGTGACAGATGAATCAAAGTAATTGAACAAAAAAATTCTGATGAACATGCCAACTGTATTTTAGCATAGAAGCAAATACCAATACCAAGTCAAATAATAACTAATACAATGAGATACAACTTGCTTTTTCGTATATATTACAATAAATAGGTGTTCAATTGCATTTAGACTAGAATAGCTATTTATTACTTTATGTATTTTTATATTTCAGGACCAATATAAATTCTGTTTTGACGCCGTGTCGGCTTATCTGTCCTCATTCAATCTTTATGCCAACTTCAATGTCGACAACAAACCTTCAACATCAACGAAAGAAGAAAATTTGTACGCAAACATATGACATTTTAGAAATGCCCATGAGGAAAAATTAAAATTTGCAATGTTTGTTTATACGAAGATTGGTTACCGAGTAGTTGTACATGACAACTTCCTATCACAAAAAATTGACAATTTTATTTTCTGTTCCTATAATCCCAATTTTATTGTTCACTAATCAATATGTATGTATATACTATTATACGTTAGTTAACTTTGCATTTAATTTTATTTTCGCATTTAAATGACCTTGGCATCCCCTTGGTGTGTACTTGTAATGACTGCGATAGCTTCAGTAGTTAGAGAATCCTAAAAATAAGTATTTGTACAACTACATCTAGTTTAAAAATATAATTAGCACATTTTATTAATATAAATATACAGTAGGATTAGCACCAATATATATGTTGAAAAAAAATTAAATTGTTTAACTGTAATGGTAAGAGGAACAAAATGCATGAATTCGTGCAATCAGTTATGGTTATAGGTATAATTTTAGGCGTTGTACGCTGCGAATGCATGTCAATAAATGAAAATGAAAAAAATTGAATTATTCTTTTAGGCTAAGTTTAAACTAATTTCTGTCAATTTTGCTGTCCAAAACTAACCATGCCACTATAAATTGATTTTGCTGCGTATTAGATATTGTAAAAATGTTTTAACAAGTTGAAAGGCCTAAATCTATACTTGCAAAATATAATCTACAGTTCTAGATGAATTGTTGAATAGCCAATGATATATTTATGACATGTTCTGTCTTCTGTCCTCATGTCAAGTCTTTTCTATCAATTCGTCAATCGTGCAGAAATAATATTAAATATCAGCATATCAGAGTTGCAAATTCTAAATCGGTGGGTAGTGTGTGTACCAGGTTAGGGTTACGCCATAATTTCATTCTGATTTTCCTTATTTTAGTTCTATTACGAGTTCGGGGACTGTTTGTGTTAGCCAAGTGAATGTACATCTGCCCATAGGCTACCGTCTCTGTACACAACTTGAAGTAAAGTAGGCAAACAAAAGTAGTTACCTCCATATTGGTACATGTACTTCAGGAGCGCCAATCAGTGTATATTAATTAGAGTATATTCTTCGAGTTCGAAACCTAAATTTTATTGAGATAAATTTGTACATTCTTTAACCACTTTGTTCCAACATAACTTCAGAATGAACTGCTTGCGCGTATCTTTAATAACGCAAACACACAATCAGTAATATACGCGCTGAGGTAACTCTAACAACACTATGATTTCGAAATTTCAAATTGCATATTAAAAAAGCAACATTTTATATAAAAAAAATTATACCACCGTCGCCATCTGCAATTGCGTTGTACAATGAATTACCAGACATTCACCAATTACCAACATGATGAAAGTAACTTTTAATGAATATTGTATTATTTTCAATGGTGGTGTAAAATGAAAATGATATTATAAATATTTAATAATAATAATTTTTCTCTTCCCATATTTAAATACTATTTAATTTGGTCTACTAATTATTTTATGTGTGGCATTTTTCATTTAAAAATTGCTTTACACCCATATTATGTATATATATTATATTAGTTGTTATGAATTATGATGTAAACAATTTTGTTTAGTAGGTATTTGCCTTTTTAAACACATATATGTGGGTGTGTTCAATTGCAAAAATTTGGTCTGTTGCTTATGTCAAGTTTATTAATTGCATTTTACAAACTTTATAAAGTAATTCGTAATTTTATTTTTACAAGTTAATTAAAACTACAACATGCAGCGATAATTTAGTTTTGGTATTGATTTACCAATCCAAGTCATTAATTTTTTGGTAATTCACCCTAAAGAAAAATATGCCTGCAGTTTATGTGATATGTTCTTTGGTGTATTTTACAAATTGTCGAAGAACTTTTAAAAAATATATCGATTCTCACCATTTTAGTCTTCTTGGTCTGAAATACTCATGTTCATTATGTATTTGTTGTTACATATTGTATTTGTTGTTAAAACATATTGTTGCTTCAAAAAGTGTAATTATCTAATAATAATTTTAGTACTGTACAATCAATAAATCTGCGTGTACTTGTTTCAAAGTGATAGGTATACATTTAGTTATGGGGTTAAATTCAATCGCCATTTGAATGGCCTCCTCCGTAGCGGAAGGAAATATTGGCTTCCATTTTATAGCAGGTTTGATTTTAAGGGCAATGAACAATATGTGAATCGACAATCAAGTGCCATGTTTTTGAAAAGATTTGTTCTTTTATTAATGGGTTTAAATGTCATTAGCCTTAATGTAAAATTGTGATAAATGTGTCATGGGCTGTGTACAACCAACATTAGGCTGATTTATTTTATTACGCGGGGACACACTTATATGAAATAGTCAGGCTAGTCAGGCAATCTTTGCAACTAACTCGTTTTCCAGCTGGGCAGACAGCTAAGGCCTTACTCTAACGCAGGGGTCACCAATCTTTTCGAAGCCGAGGGTTACTTTCTAGGTACCGATTAAGCCGAGGGCTACCAGTTCAATGCACACTTTCAAAAGTCAATTTGCTCCATTAACCTTCAATTATTGATAAATACTGGTATTTAGTCAAGAAGAAACACTGATAAACTTTAGGATTCTTCAGGAAATCGAACGATTATAACAACGTAGCAAATAAATTACTAGCAATGACACTCTCATTTTCAAATTGATTCTAAAGTGATCACTATAATAATATCCTCGGAAACCACAGGTCCACAAGGTACCTACTATTTTACAAACACCCTGCATAACCCTAAGATGGAATAAACTTAACAGTTGTACTGCCGAATGTTACATTTACAAACGCATTCAACCAATTATGAATATCTTGTTTTCAACAAGGAGAAAACCAAAATCGAACAAATCTGGTTTAATGCTCTCTACCAGTGTGGTGTTCTCCGCCGTGTAACTTGACACTGTAACTCTGAGCGGGTCTTGCAGATTTTCATCAGTAAGGCATATTCCGTGCTTAGTCCCTTGTGAAGTTCATGTCAAAAAATGTTGATTCACAAAGATGGCTTGAACCAAACTTTGAATCTCGTAACATAGGATTGCTGTTTAAAAAACTCTTTGTTTCCGGATATCTTATATATTCGCACTCCGCCATCCTGTCGCTCTAAACTCCCCGCAAATGAGACATACGCAAGCTGTTTTCACGGTTGTAAAAGGAAATGCACCTCCCATTCATCGTGAAAATGGTATGTTTTCTTTTGTTTTTCTGCCATTTTCTTTGAATTCTTTGGTATTGCTGCTCCTCAAATTACCAGACACGAAAAAACGCGGGTTTGTGGAAGGTGACATCTGTGACATAATTGGGAGAGTATTAAATGACCCGTCACATTATTATGGTTAAATAAAACTTGGAATGATCGTTACCATAATAACATAGTGTTATTTCCAGTTTCCAAATAAGACAAAAGTGTGATTTATACAAGAATAGCATGAAAAAAAATTAATTGATGTAGCTTCCTTATAAGCGCCGGTATCAAGCTAATTTTGGAACAGACCTGGGGGCGACTCTTGTGGTCTTCACTAGCAACTTGGTGCCCGCGCGCAACGGGTTGTTGACCCCTGCTCTATTGGTACCTTCGCGCGACTTCCGTGTTTATATATTTAGATATTTATCCTTTGTTTCATATCACGATGTTATGAAATTACCCAAGAGCAACTATTTCCCGTCTTTCTTAAGCAGCATTGAGAATTGACTAAACTCAAACGATTTTAGTTGAACCAGCTTTAGACTGATGACAACCTATCATTGGTGTTTAAATCGCAGATTTATATTCTGAAATTATTATTTGGGTCGCATAACAAGATCTTTTCATTAAGTACATAGGAAAGAAATACAAAAAAAAAAACATATTTGGTTATGTAGTCTAGAAAATCAATTTCCATTAATATATTGTTGTTGAAATGAAAATCCGCCATATTGTTAAATACCAGCACCTTCAGAAAAATTTCGCCGATTGGTTTTGGCAAACTGGCTTTTTGTCAACTAATGACGAAAATCGTTCCCATATATATGCGCTACACTCTGCTTTTCGACCATAGTGTTACAACATAGGTTACTTTAAGTAGAAATAGTGAAATCTTGAATTTTTTTGCATCTATACTGCTTGAGACATATTAGTAAAACTTGTTTAATTGTCTCTAGGCCAGAGTTGGGTAGGAATCATGAAAACTATACCATATCGCGGCTTGGTAGTTAGTGATGACCCCCGTTTATATTCGCACTAGAAAAACGGTAATTACTAAAATTTACGATTTGCGGACATTTTAACAGTACTTCATATTAATTTCTAGTAACGTCAACTTAGAGCTTTCAATGAAACTGAACGACACAACAAACCTGTTTTTCGATTAGATAAAAAGTTCAAACATGCAAAAAGTACGATATTTGCACAGTTCTTGCCTAGTCGTAGCCTCTGCCTTGTTCAAATATTACAAAATGCGTCTGAAATACAATAAATATACGACATGTGTGACTCTAAACCAATGTAAACCTAGCTCTCGGGGGTGAAAAGTTCCATGACACGAACCTGGCTTCAATACGAAATTCGACCTTTTTTGCTTACCAAAGAACACACATCTGACTCATTCAAACTGAGTAATTTTTTAAATATTTTCGGTCGAGGTTGCAAATTCGAGTGCATGTACCCAATAAGTATTTACAAATAGATTACAGTTTGCAACACTTTTCATAGAAATTATACTTCAACACCTAACAGCGGTGTACATAAATAAATTGGCAATGACAAACAACATTTAATCCCAAAAATACGGCTTTATTTGGACTGTAGCTCAAAATCAAGTGTCAGTTTTGTCGTCTAAAATATTGAAACAGATTGGAAATGAATATGTATTGATTTAAATACATGCTTAAATTCTTTAAATTCATCATACTGAATGTTCGCAAAGATATAGAAGCTGAAATAACATATACATTTTCTGCGACATCGCACCCCGGCACCTTCCAACAATGCCTGAAAGTCGTTTCAATTTTCATAGATTTGAATGATTTCATGCAGTCATATTGAAAATCATTCACATATAATTGAAGATCTTGCAGTACTTTACACGACCTTGTGATTTTATATGACAAGGAAAATACGACAATTTGAGAGTATTTCAGCAATATTGCTCGACGAAGTAACAAACCTCGGTTAATAAACTATAATTCGGCTTTCTAAAACGAGTAACGGCCCTGCTTAACTGTAATGAGTTGTGTATTGAATGCGCCATATGGATTTTTTTTTGTGTCTTTAAAATTAGGGCAGTGGAATAGAAAGTGGCATTTGTCCTTATATATTACTAATCCAATTACTGTTTATCATGAAATTCGACCTACTCGATGGGCCAGTCAACGATGGACCAAACAACAATTACATCAATCGTTGATGTACAGTTGGTTAAAGCGGAACTTTATGGTAACATCAGGCGGGCCAGTCCAAAAAACCATAAAAATAACAGTTTAATCTTGTGAGCAGTAGTCCGACCATTGCTGTTTTGTGCGCGGTATGATAATAAACGAAACATCTTTGCGACGGATCGCAATCTGAAAAGGGTCACACAAACTACCACGAACTTATCAGTTACAATCAATTTAACGGGTGAAAACAAAATACTTTCGTGCACAAAAAGACTTTAGCTTTGCAGTAATCTTTGATAGCTTGGCTTTTAACAAACAACAGACAATACCAAACCGGCACCGGTTGGGGTAACACTGAATTCTGAGCAAAATTTTTAAAGTAAAGATAATGTACGGTACTGTATTGTGCATTTCGAATTCTTATTCTAATTTCGCTTGCGTAGTTTTTGCTCAACATACAATCGCATATTCATGCAAACCATATCCTAGGAAAGTTTAATAGGCATAAGTACAAAACGTAAGACTAAAATGGTGTTTAAATATACGGAGCCACACGTATATACTTTTTCATGGTAATCAATCAATTGTTCAAATAATCATCAACAGAATCCCGCCAATTAAGACTTCTTGTGAGTTAAGGATTACTTTTGGAAATTTCCCGTTGTTAACAATTTTTAATACAACGCAATGAAGTAGGAAGGTCTATATACTTGAATTATGTGATTCCTCATTTTATTCTACCGCAAACCGTAACGATAGCATAACATAAATTTCCCTGTACGTGGTGTCATTGATGTAAATCATAATGAGATTGTATATATATTCGAGCATGTGGGAAGTATGAAATATTATACGACATCCTGGCTTTTCTGTTCATAAGTTCACAGTGCGTCAGATTTGGCGCCATTAAATTGCCGCAGTGCAGAAGTTAGAAACATGACGTTTTGAGTGAGATTATTCATAGCGTTATAGCAGTGGTTCCCGAACAACCGGTGGATTATATTAACCACGTGTGGAAAATTGAGGAGATGCTAGTTGGTAATACACAGGATTGTAAGAAAATTTATTGTAAACGTATTGTTGCGTAGAGACATGCATATGAATATTGACAATGCAGTGCATTGCAACTTTCCCCTTTTAACGCAAAAGTTTTTACTCTAATTAAAACATAGGTTCTGAAACGACTGGGGGTCTCGATTTCTATACCCTAATTTGCAACATAAAGACAATCAAGTGTACCAAATGTTTATTTAGTTATGAGTGGTTTGTCCATCAAGGGCATGAAGAAATAGAAAATGTAAATATAAAAAAAATTAATTCATTATCTTCTACTGGGGGAGTTAGGCATAAAAATGAAGTGTTTCAGAAAAGAAGCATAAATGCTATGAGGAACGCAATATGGATATTTACGTTGATCAGTTCATTATTTTCAACTATTCAATCAGAAGATCCAAAACGTGAGTTTGTGAAGATACGTGTATTATAATATCCTATATTTCATATATTACGAATACATGATTATTTATTGTTTTATCGTAAAAAGATAAAATTCGAATATCCGTATGTGACGTCAAAAATGAAAACTGACTAACCGGTCCTGAAATATTTTCAGACATAGCTACTTTCCGAACGTACATACTTGAACTATCTAATTAAAGGAAAGGTTGGTATACAGCCAAAGATGTTTGTACCAAAAGAGATAGCTGGCTTGTTGAAATTAAGGATTGCGAAACATACGAAGCCGTAAGAAATCTAACCAGGTATTCGATTTAGAAAAAGTTTACGTGCATAAGCAATTTCGTAAATTTATCATAAACAATTTTTAAGTTAAGTCTTCACACAACAGCATGCAGAATTACATCGGGCATATTTACTATTAAATATGTATTTTGAATTAGACTTCACAATGTTTTTAGAGAGGATATCTGGATTGGATTGAACTATCTACCAAAATATAAATGGTTTTAGAACGAAGAGGGTGAACTGAGATTTTCAAAATGGTACGAATAAGTATTTACTGGTATCACATCTATCTGGTGTGGTAGCAATTGTCTATAGCGGGAGAAAATGAAGAAGAAATATATTGAAATTGCGAATTTACCATCGGTGTGAGCAAAGGCCACCAATCACCATCGATGTTAGGCTTTTCGCTCATAAACTTTGAACCGAAGGTTCGTCAGTTTGCTTCAACAGGATTGCGGCGCAATATCGATTGCAATTATAGACATAAATACGTTATCCAGTCAGGTTGGATTGTATTTTGTAATATCACAGTTCGATATCCATTACTAAATAAAGTCGGGATCAAAAGTTCCAAAATACCGGACGTACATGAAATACTTTATATAAATGCGTCACTTTTAAATTAGTTGGTACTCATGAAAGAAATACCAAAGTCAATGGAGCTATACGTACAAAACTGAACTGTTAGAACCGGTATAACGTATAAATTCGTAAAATGTTTTAGGATTTTAATTCAATCCACCTAATTGTGTTATCTCCGCGATTTAACAGTGAATACTGCACTATTTACATATGACCTTCATTAATAAAACATGCACTAACGAAACCTGCTCCAATCATGGGAACTGCATTATGGCAACTGGGAAAGACAGATACAATTGCATTTTCGAGCAAGGATATTTTGAAACAAATCGTGAGAGTGGTAAATATGCCCTATCTCTCGTTGATTCATTCACTATAACACATAAAGGATGAATAATGTGCATGATCGCCTCTGTTGAAAGTATTTCTCTTGATGAAACAATTGCGTATTTTTAGATGAACCTATTGCACATAGCATTTCGTACTCTTTCGGACATAATTCTTCAAAAAGTTAAAAAATCTAAACCGGAATTTCAAACGTTGATTTGGCAATTATAAGGTAGTCGTCAGTCAATATCCTGGAGGCGTAAATAATGTATTTTTTCATGTCATTTTATCTTATTAAATGTTCGAAATGACGAGATTCAATGCTCTGGTAATATGAATTTCTGGACCATTTAATAGTCGCCATCTTTGGCAATATTAATTGACTCTGAAATTGCCTATTGCCACGCGCTACTTATATATATATATATATATATATATATACAATGGGTACAATGATGACCTGACAGTGACTGTTTAAAATAAACTTTCATCGTGACATCGACGTGTTGGATTCTTTGAAAATTTATATCGGCGACTTCCGCCATGCACCAATATACAGCGATAAAGTTCATTAATATTTACCTATGTACGAGTATTTGGCGCTGAAGTTGAGGTGAATTGAAGGGTTGATTTTTTCGCAAAATTCGATGTTACCTCTCCAATCATCTCTTTTAAATGGTATCGCGATGATTTCACGTCATTGAAAAAAAAACATAGCCTATGTATTTTGGCTCATTATTGGCTTGTGCTAGAATTTCTGTTTGTGATGACGATTCACCAAAATTAATTTGAAATAAATATTGCAAATTTATCAAATAATTTTTTATTGAAAGAGTATTTCCAACAATACGGGTCCATATGGCATTTATTTGTTTGAAATTATTTATTAGCAATTCAAAAATTGTTGTTGTGGGCTTGTGGTGATCGGTATAACATATCAAATATCAACATTTGGATGGGTTTGTTGAATGTATTTGCGTTTCTTGCAATTTTCTAAAACAACCAATTACGCTAAAATATATGATGTCTTCTCAGCAGAGGATGAGAAAGCATTTGGTTAAGAGTAGACCCGTGATATTTATGAGAGAACCATTGAACTTCGCGTGACACAAATAATCAATAATATTTATTTTATTATCAACTACTGAAATGAAGAGTCATAGTGTCAGTTACCATTAATTTTGTTTTTAGGACCAATACATTCTCGTGCACATACTTCTCTTGGAAAATTATATGTACGGTGATACTGATATGGGTCAAGATGAAGTATATCATGTAGAAGATATGAGATTAAGATAACAATATTATGTCATATAATTCTGGTAATTCGACTAAAGTATTTTTTATCGTATTTAAAAATAAAAAAACTATCATCAATATATTCTTTTTATATGACGATTCCACATCAAACTCATTCAATTTCATAAAAAAAGTATTTTAAATTTGTGGAGAGAAAACATTTAATTTTTGTGCGAATACATATATTTGATTCATTCATTTAATTGATTTGCAATCATTTCTTATAAAATTTTAAAAGTTTTCATGAAATAATTTACAACGACCAACAGGACGATGTGAAACTTTGTAAGCAGTTTGACAACTTTGGAAAAGTTGGACCAATAAACCAAGCATGGAAATACAGGGAATTACAGACCAATGAATAGCAATCCACATGTCATACCATGTTAGTAAGCTCTAAAATATTTATTTACTCCAATGATATATTGTATAATTACAAAAAATGAGACGGTACCTTCAACATTAGTAGTCGATGCAACTAATAAATAATTACTGAAATTATAAAGCTATTGTGGAAAACAACATATTGTGCTTTCAGACGTTAAGAACAAGGTTGTGATTATGAGGGGAAGTGATGTAACGGGAACGCCTTATATTAATGCATCAAAGCTTGAACTGAGTTAACATTTCATCTACGTGCTTTTGTAGATACACTAGCCAAAACGAAGAATAAACGAAGTCAAACATTTTTTTATCTGTCGCTGATACGAGTAATGAAATGATGAACAAGTTTTTTTATTCAATTTAGTTAATAATTAAATGACAATTTTTATTTATTTTTTGTCGAATAAAGAAAACAATATCGTTGACAATATATCACATTCTATTTAGTCGTACAGCGATATCACAAAACTAATTGGACAAGGTCCAATGAAGTCCACCACGGATTTTTTCTGGAGAGCAGTAATTCACAACAATGTCAACACTATTGCGATGTTAACCAACGATGAAGAGGGCAAAAAGGTCTTTGTAACATCTTTTTCAAAACATCTTAGTTATGATAAACTGTCATGAACTCTGTTTAGTGTGTTGTAATATTATTATTTTATCCATAATGTCCTCTGAATGGGACTCGGAAGATGGGAATCGTGTAGCTGTATACAATAGTTACTCACATTTCCTCGTGCTGTTGGTATATGATACAAAACAGACATTGCAAAATTTATTAAAATTTAAACATAAGGTCAGATGATAAATAAAAAAATGACACAACGCAAAGTTTAAATATCAAACTATATTATAAATCGTTGCAAAAATATAAGAGACATACATACGATGTTTTTCTCATCTACGTGGTTATATGAATACTTAATATCTAGTCTAGGCCTTCTGGGACATTTCTCCATTGTAGAAAAGCAATCTGTCTTATACAAAAATATTACATTTGTCTTTTTGACCAGTTTCTAGTTTTATCCTAGATGATTTTATAATGTTACAATTTATATATATATAAACATGGCTGAAAGAAATTTTAATCATGATAATATTTATTATTACTTCATTTCACTAATCAAAAACATGTGGAGCTCAAATCATTAAAAACGTACGAGAAATAAATTATAATAACCAATAAAATATTATGGGCGTGTGGAAGCCTTCTTTATAAATCAATTCTAATTATTATAAACAAATTCTTGCTGGGCATGATAACACCGTGTTCTTTCCACTGGAAGTTGAAATCATTTCATGGACAATTGCAAATGTTATAACTTTACTGAGTGGAATGGTATAGGGTAGGCCATTGATGGATTGAGATATTCTGGCGTGGGTTCAACAATTTACGTGTATATAATAACAAGCCTACATTTCCTTTCTCGCTGATAGCTATGTTTGCATTGGTGTTATTCAGGGTCCGAATGAAAATATTATTTTGCAACAACATAGATCTTTCGGTAGTGGTTGCTACCTTGTAACGGGAAAACAGCATTTTTCTTTAATGGGATGTAGCTTTGACTGGTCAAGATTATAATATTTTCAGAGTTAGTTACTGATTGGTAACGGATTTTATTTGGTAGAAAATCAAAATTATGATTTACTGGGGAAGGGTGCGGCAATCAAAATTTTAAGAAAGCGGCATTAAAATAACACGCTATTTATAAATCTAATACATAGGTTTCGAAACGCCAAATATAGCGATTGTCTTCAGCTGAGGTTGTCTAACTAACCGACTCTAACGGATGAAAAAAAAAAAACGGTTCGCTGACTACGACAACATTCCAAAGACGGGCCCGTCCCGTCCAACCCTTGCAGGTATCACCGCTGGGCGGCAACAATATGACCATCAAGAGCATAAATTGAATATATTAGGTTTTTAATAAATATCTTCAATATTTGTAAGACGTTATATTTTTATTTCTAGGAACAATGTTATCCTTATTGGGAAGATCATAAAATGCTTTCAAGAAGCTTGAATAAAATCTACAAACACAGAAGGACAAATTATCAGAAGAGAAATCCAAGTTTCTAAAGACGAAGCAGTAAAGGTAAAATTATATTTTAATTTTGGTTTATTCAACGTAATGTTTTTTGAACGATCCATTGACTGGCCATGGAAAGAATATCCAGAGAGAGATTTTTGACATTCTAATATTAGTGGATGCTGTTTATAATCTAGTATTTATTACTCACTCACCATTTCAGTTCAGTTCATATTAAAAATATGAGTATATTGCAAAATATTGCAATATCGTATATCATTGTTTTAAACTGCTTGTCTTATGAAGTCAAATACATTTGTGTTAGTTTGCAGCAGGACTCTCAAATTGCATAGAATGGTCATGTTTATTCCTGCTATACAGCATCCTTGCATTTTACGCATACGGAACCACTAGCGCAAATGAATTGAGGAAGGATTGGGAGTTAGTCTCGCGTAACATGATAGGTATAGAAATATATCATTATTGTGTCAGCACTCAGCAATATTTTTATTTCAGACAATAATTCACTACCAATATGTTGCATGGAAATCAAACGAATCTCCCGAAACAACTTCTGATGTAATTGAACTCATAGAGAAAATGCAATCAAGCGTAAGAAGAAACAAAGAAGCAACTGCTCTGATTCATTGCAGGTAGAGTTTCTAAAACTATGACACAATGTTTACAAAATTACACCGCATATTCAGAATCATACATCCAACGAGTAATAAAACTTGTCTTAGTTTGTGACCAAAATGTTATGCAATTTATTACAATTATCTAGAAATTTATATCGCTTCAAGTGATTTGTATTTGATATAAGCAATAAAGAAGAACTAATATATATATTTGAATTTTAAATGCTCACTCGCCATTTCAATTTCATCATTCAGTCATCTGATAGTAGTCAAGATTATTGTTTCGATATTGCTTACCTATAAGAAAACTTGTAGTCAAATCTCCTATCAACTAACCTCAAGCTTGTAATCACAGCGATGGTGCTGGAAGAACTGGAACATTCTGTGCAATATTGAATTTGATTGAAAGATTAAAATGCGAAAATAGGGTTGACGTCTTCCGGACAGTAAAAGATCTACGTGACTGCAGACCTGGAATGGTCCAAACTTTGGTAAGACTTTATTCAATTCTTCTCACTAATCTTAATTTTTTATGTAATTGGATGACTCTAAACTGAAAACAAACTAGACTGATTGACCTACCAAAAACGTTTGGTAATAACTCACACGAACGTAACGTAACGTTCAATAAAGCTAGTTACAAGAAAATTATGTGGTTGGTTGTAGGTAATAATTCATGTTGGTATAACTTATAACTACCAGAAAAATGTTTTGTAATTACGTACCTGTTATTCGTGATAATAATGAGCACTATTTGGTATGAATCCACGTATTATATTTTAGGATCAATATCGGTTCTGTTTCGAAACTGTTTCAGTTTATTTATCATCGTTCAACCTCTACTCAAATTTTGATGTTAGCAATGGAAAGCAAATTACGCAGGAAGAGAGTTTGTATCAGAACTTATAAACAAATCATGGCGTCTGAAACAGAGATTTATTAACTAATTTTGATGTATTTCTGAACTAATGCAAACTTATGGAGATCTTTAAGTTGAACTAACAGTGAAGTCGGCGGAATACGCCTCGTTTGTAGATAATTTTTTCATAATCATGACCTTAAGCTTTCATAACCATGATCTTAAAACATAAAACTTTATGATAATTAAATAATCAAATTTATAATATTACTAATAATATTACTGTAATGCAACATTATTTTATTGCTACTGCTCTTATTAACTTGCACTTTACATTTTGAAATTGTCTACTTTATTTATTTCATTGTTTATACTGTGTATGAGAGAATTTCTATATGCTATATATATTATGTTTTATGGTATGACAATACATAATTAATATTTTGAGAATGAAATAATAATTGGAGTAATCTGATTTATTTATCAAATACAGGAATAACATGCATGCTTGTGCAGATTATATGTATCGGAATAAATATATATATTTAATAGGAGTTATTACAGAAAAAATCTTTGATAAGCTAACATGTTGAATTAGTAAATAATTTTTGATACAATACGTAGTCTAGATGTTTTGACAATAACATCGCGAGTTAACTTGGCAATCGAAATAAAGTTAGTGGCTGAAAAGGACAAATTAAAACGGCAAAAATGAATGTCTACTGTTTTCTAGAACCAATCATATTTCCAAAATGAAGACGTGATAGCATGAATAGTTTAAAGAAAACGTTCCACAACACTTTTTTGAATTATTCTGCTAGCGGACGTGTTTGAAGCAAAACAAATTAATTAAGCAGTTTCATATAATTCGCTTTCTTTTTTATATTACGTTTTTCTAACTATGACCTTAATTTATTTATTTCACTCCATTGACGTAATGTAACCGTTAAAATTTCAGCTGCATCATGTGAATAGTATACACATACTAATAAAATAAAGTTAACAATCATTGTGACTGAATTTCATTTCATACTTAATTTCATGTCGATGAAAATGGATATGATTTATTAATTAATAAAGAGTGATGTCATGCATGCCTGTGTAGATTATCGTTTGTTTTTAATATATATGTAAGAAGAAGAATTACGGAAAATAAAATATGCTTCAATTAGCTAACGTTTTAACCGTGTATTTAATTTATTAATTTATTAATTTTATTGGTAATATGTCTTGACAGTAAGTTATTGACCGAGAAGGGCAAAATGAGTTGGCAAAATGAATCGATCTTCACTCTTAATTAACCAATCATAATTTAAAAAAAGGGTAGATTGTATAAATATTTCGAAGAATTGGTTTCACAGACCATATTTTCTAATATTCTGATAGCAGACGAATCATTGCAAAAAGGTAGTCTTTGCAATATTTTCACCAATATCCCATTGATTTCAATTTGTATACAGTAAAGTTCGACACAGACGCCCTTTTTAAATGTCAATCAGAAATTATGGTTACCGGTGCCGTGATTTATGTTTTGTAGCTTTCAGTTATATAACAAAAACACTTCCCATTTCGAATGTAGAAATGACCATTGTTTCTATTATTTATTCAGTGATGTATTTTTGTAAAATCAGTAATAGACTTCAATCAAATTTAGTTCCAAGTCCTTGTTATACAAAATAATTATCCAAAGTTTTTGTCTATTTTCAGCTACGATATCCTTTTAATTAAACAAGCGAACTTATTAGGAATAAATGAGACAAATAACATTTTCAATTCGCGTTTGAAATAACTTAAGCTGCGCGCTGATATTGTGTAAATAGTTGAGTTTGTATATGACATCTTAGAAACGGCAAATTTTATGCCAATTTCTTTACAAATGTGAAACAATGCAATATGTTTTATAGAAAAGAATTCAATATAAATGTACATAGCAAGTTTGCAAGTATTACCAATCATACGGCACGATATAAAAGGTTAAATGCCTGACAGTTCACGGAAAAAGTCTAATGTTTTCAGACATATAAAATCCATGTTATGCGGAAAGAGGGCGATCCAGAGGTATGCGTACCGATATGGAGGTAACTCATTTTGTTTACCTGTTCGACATGGACAGAGGGATATTCACTTGGCTAATACAGACAGTTCCCCAACTCGTAATAAAGGAAGTACAATAGGGAAAATCGGAATAAAATTATGGCCTAATCATTACCTGGTACACATACTACATGAGTACCAAAAAAAGTGGCAATTCCAACTAACAATTTCTAAAAGGTCCTATGGTAAATGTGGTCAACAGAGCAAAAATTTGCACTCTTTTAGTTTCAGTTAGATTGTGTTCTGTTTGTCGGGCAATACGGCAATTCAGTTTGATTAGTTTTTCTATCGTACGTTTGAAAATGTAAATAGAGTTCAAATTTTTTGATGCAATCTTAAAAAACTGAATTTTGACTACTAATATTTCATTTTATTTCTCCGAATTAATAGTAGTCTCGTTTTGCTGTGTCTATATGGTAAATTGGGGTGTCGCCAATGGAGTATTCCTATTTATCGCAACGCATAGATGCTGTGACCAGTCAACCTGTGGGTTGGTAAGAGCTAGTCAAGGTAATCTTTCTAGCTGCATGAGTGCAAATAGTTTATCAATACCGATAACAACAGATTACAGGAACTAGGAACGACAAAGGGGTATTGACGAATTTAGGTTATTACTCATTCAGACATTTATTCGTCTCGAAAAATATCGGTAATGATGTATTAAATCTAGTTCTTTGGCCGGCTTGAATCTTCTGCTCAAGTATTGAAATCCGGTTTAAATTATAAGCACAGTTTGTATAATCTCTTGTCACTCTGCTACACCCTCTGCGTAAGCGTTCCTTCGCTGTGGACGGTTACCTGGTAGCTCTTTATAAGAAAATAACAGCCGGTGGGTGCCACTGATATCTCATCTAAAGGCAATCGCATATTGGCAAAATACTTAAATTCCCCTGATTACCCTTCTGCGCAAAAATGGTGCGCCAATCGTTGAAAATGGATTCACAATATTTAAATGTCATTTATATTATCTAAAAAAACAAAAAAAATAGGAAAAAAAGGAATTGAATCATGCCATGCTACCAGACAAACGAAACTAAATCTAACTGAAAAAAATTAAAAAGGCAAATTTGTAATCTGGTGGCATCTGGTTCCGTGAAAGATAATGTCAAAAATTGTCCGTTTATGCCACTATATATATATATATATATCCGCGTGGGATAGGTTTTAGAATAAAGCCTATTGATGCAACATTTATTTTTTTGCAGTATAGACAATGCGAAATGTAATTTATTACAATTATTATAAGTAAAATATAAGATGTGGTTTGTATTGTTTTGGATTTCATTGTTCAGTTCCACCGAAGGACAAACAACAATCCCAACTCCAAAAAGTAAGCATACGTTCTCTTTTTTTTATGTATAGGTTCTCTTATTTGTGTTACATGTACACTTTCATTGTTCACATTATATACTCGGTGATGACGAATATTGCAATTTGCATTGCGATAGCAATGCGAGTTGTGGCAAAAGTAGCGATAGTGCCAAATTATATTTCTCAAAATTATATACAGTCCACACTGAGTTAATATTTTAAAAACCAACTGTGAGATTTTTTAGATTGATCAGAAATAGTTTGCTGATTTTTTCCTATGACTTATAAACTAACGCGTATAATAAAACAAATTTAGCATCATCACACATTTCTATTCAGGCACATCAGATTTCCGAAACTATAGATTAGAACTATTTGAAAAAGGAGAGGCACATTATGATGCCAAGACTGTGTGTGAAGCAAGAAATGCATGGCTCGTTGAGATAAAAGATAAAGAAACTCAAGATGCAGTGAAAAAATTTACTGAGTGAGTTTGTCCCATCCATATTTGAAATGCATAAGTAACATGTTTAACAGTATAATAGCACGGAGAACAAAAATGACCACCATATGCATTTTTATTTGTCCGACATAATACCAAATGTTATTTACCACGGAAAGCAACAATTGGTCTCCAAAGCACGATGACCCAAAAATAGAAAGGTGACATTAGTCGTCAAAAATTAACTTAAAATTCAATGCTCACTGTCAATGATCTTATAATTGCAGACAGCATGTCAGATATGTAAATAAGTTGAATTGTAATAGAATTCATTTGATCTTAATCGCATTTCAAAATGTAAAATATGATTCACGCGCAATATTATATTGTTCGCCGTTTTAATTAGTCTCGTTAGGAATCTGCTCAATTTACTTTCTCACCTTGAGCAACTCGTCCTTAAATGTTGTTTATGTCTCGCTATGTCTGCGAAGATTATGGTCAGGGGTGAGTATTTTAGTGAAAACGCTCAAACGTTAATCGGGTAAAATTGACCGGTATGTCGAAGGCAAAGCCCTGCCATGATTAATGTATGATAATTGTGAAGTAGGCTTGTGGCAGCATGATTCTAAGGTATTTTTGCTTTTCCAAAATTGTTAGATATTGAACGCGGGTCAAAATAGTCCTGTAACGAGTCGCTCTGAATATTAATTCTTTACAAAAGAGCTGCAAACTACTTTTTACCAACCACGCACTCATGAAAATCATGGATTAATCTAATCTCCTTATCAGTTATGTTATGAGTTTTAAAATATAAACAATTGAACTAATTATTTATATCTTAAAACTCCTAACACAAAACATATGCGTGAACTAATTTTCATTAATTAAATCTAAATAGGAACATGGAAGATCCTAAGATCTAATAATGAATATTGAGCTGTACTAGGGCCGACCGATACTGTCTTTTTGAACCGATACTGATACTGATAGGTTTCGAAAACTAGGCCGATAAGCCGATACCGATGTTTCCCCACCTACAAATATGGCTACAAGTAACCAGCAACACTCTGGGAATATTGTGTTTTTCCTGCAAAATAAATGGAGTCTATAGTTGAGCAGAGTTTTTCTGGACTGGCTCCAATCATACTAGCTCTTGTGTTTTGCTGTAGAGGTGGCTCTACAAATTACTGGTGTTTTTTTTAAATCGGCGAAACTTTTTGAATTTATAATGATGCGCCTATTTTACAAATTACGCCATCATTATGGCACACGAAGTATTCCCATACTCTGCTCTTACCGCTAGAACCAGCCATCTATAACATATCAATACAAGAAGTTAAATCGCGCCTTGAACCACGGAAGCGCAAGGGAAATCCAAAGCCGTGGAAAGTGGAAACGGCGAGAATTATTTATTGATCGACGTATATTATTTGACTCAAATAAGTCGTTCACATGTTTCTCTCACTCAATTTGCAGGGCCATCGCGCTCGCAAACTCGCTTACAAAGTATTGAATCCCTTGCCATACGTCCGTTTTGGATAATAGAAACATGTAAAAAAAATCTTTATTAACGTATATTATTTGACACAAATAAGTGCCTCCCCCGTTTCTCTCGCTTCAATTTGCAAGCCACCACACTCGCAGACTCGATTACAAAGTGTTAAATCCCGTGCCGTACGTCCGTTTCGGATTAGAGAGGCATAGTCGAAAAAATTCTTTATTTATCAATGTATATTATTTGACACAAATATGTGGTTCACGCGTTCCTCTCGCTTCAATTTGCAAGCCACCACGCTCGCAAACTCGCTTACAAATTATGAATCCCGTGCCATACGTCCGTTTTGGATAAGAGAGACGTAGTCAAAAGCCGCTTTTTGATAAAAGAGAAATAGAAGTAACGAAGAAAAAGAGTATTAGGCAGAACCGCTCTCTCAATTAAACATACGATAAAACTGCTTTCCCGGCGTAATTTTGACACTTTGGCAACCATGTGATTGGCCGATATATATCGGTAAAATTAGCCGATACCGATAGTTCGGAATTTGTGAAAAACATGGACGATATATCGGTCGGGCACTAGCAGCAACTGCCTATTACTCACCTAGTATTTCATCATTTATGTATCTTTATGATCAGAGTCAATTAAAAATCCATGTAAAGTTCATTTCATTTGACACTGCGATCATACTCGATATTTTAATTATACCAAAATTATTTATTGTTTTAGCTTTTGTACTTTGGCAGTTAGCATTGCTTCAAGCACTTTTAATTATCTACTAAATACAAATCTGAAATGCCACTAAATACAAATAGATGAATTGAAATTTGATTGGTTGTAAAGGGACGTAAAAGGACAATGTCAAAGGACTCGACACGATTGTTTGGAGTTGCAATTTATTACTTTAATTTTTGCGACCATGTATATATGCCAATTAATAAACAATAACGTCCTTAATTTTGTTAGGAATATCATTTGGATTGGTTTACATCATGACGGCGAATGGATATGGAACAACATCTATGAATTGAAATATACCAACTGGTTTGTCTCATTCTATTTTACATATTAAATATAAATTTTCATGAAAAATCCGATATACATGGTAAGTAGAACTTTTGTTGTTTGATCATAATATAAAAATCGGCTATGTTATCAGCGGTAATGATGTTTAAATAAATAAATTTGTTGCCGCGAGTGAAACCAAAACAACAAGCTTTGGGCATTTTGGAAAGGCCATATAAGTGTCATCTGTAACAGATCTGTCAAATAGATTAAACCCAACATGAAAAACAAAAACTTGTCGCTAACACCATCAATATTATCTTTGGGCATATCTGTTTTTATGGTCCGTTAATGATTAAAATTCCACGTGCCGGTAGCATCCAGTGATTTTTCGAAAGTGAAACTTATTGCGAGCAGACCAATTTAAAGCGTGGGTGACGAAAAGCGTAATTTGTTTTCATACAGGGCCCCCGGTTATCCTATAACCGTTTCTGGAGTAAAAATGAACTCCTGTGTCGCTTCCAGATCATCTGATGGAAGGTGGATTAATAACGATTGCGCAAATGGGCACCGATATGTGTGTCAGTCAGGTATGTTTTCATTTTTAACTGTCGTTTTAATTTCTCTGAAGTATGAAAAACACTTTATGATATTTTACCATTAATTCGATTTGTATCATTGTATGTCATACCATGACTACTAATGTTAAGTGTACAGCAGTTGTTTTAATTAACGAATCTCCGTTTTATCCACGCCGGCAATATTTGAATTTGGTGTTTCCTCCAGTCCAGTCGTTTTCTTAGCTGTGGTAAATAAAATTGTCCAAAGTGTCAAATTGCATTTTCTTCAAGCTTACATATATTTGAATGTACCATAAAAGAACATAAACATGACAAATAGGCGGAAATACACCCACTTTATATTTGAAAGATTACAACGGATCCTCTTAGAAACGAGGATTTGTCCCGTCTTTATACGTGATTGGCTTCTCTTCAGTACCAATCGATATATAAACAATCTAATTCTTTGAACTATATGGGAAGTTATGATATGTCTCAAGATAAATTGGTGATTCCCTGTGATTCACAAAGCAACGCAAAGGGGTATTTTGTTAAGCTGTCGTTGTCGTGCCCAGTGAATCATCAATATTTCTAATTAATGTGAAGAATTCTCATCTTATAGATAGAACTTGGTCCAACTTCAACAATAAACTAACACTTCAAATAATAACAAGTCCTCCAAAAACATTTTCTGAGTCCCAACAAGCCTGTGCTAAGAACGGATCGACACTTGTGGAGATAAAAACAGATGCTCTGGAAATATTCATCAATCGAAAATTGAGGTTGGAAAACTTCACTTCTTGATTATATTATGGCCGACACAAATAACACAATGAATTTTTTTGTTGATGAAAACATTCTGTTGCAAAACAAAAACTTTGCGAGTAAAAAAATTATCTGATGCAAAAGTTAGGACAGGCAAAGAAAGATATTGAAAACTAGAAAATGTTTTTTCAACTTTTTTCATGTTTTCAACTTTTATGGATATCGTAGAATTACCCAAAAATTAAAGAAATGTTACTGGGATTGTGTTAATGTTTGCCATAAAGATTTTTCCTCATAACTCTAGTTACGAAAGTTTCATACCATTTAGTTTTCTTGATTAGATCTATTCTAATTACCAAGTATTCTTTGAATTGTAATGCGCGATCATAATGCTGCATCTTTTGAGTAGATTTTACATCTAACTGGTCGTCAGTCACTTCCATCTGATGTGAGGGTCCTTCATTATTGATTTAATGAGTAGAATAATTTTTAAAAACATTCCTAATAAATTAAGTTTTTGCCAATGTCAACACTTTTTCTAGCTAAATTCACAACATCAAAATATTTCGTATTAGTATTGGTAGAATAGATTTGACATGGCTGCTAATATTCCAATCTTCACAGTACGAGGGAATACGGAGTTGATTTATTTTTAGTAAGACTATGTTACTACATTGTTTGATAAATGTGTACTTGTCGAATGATTTCGAGTTTTCCGATCCAATGCATCCGTATTGAAATGACATTCATGTTAGTCGTGTTTGTACACTGGCTGTCGCACATTATCAAATACACCTTAAACAATTAAGGTTCATTGATTACTTTTTCATATAAAACTTAAAACTAATTGAGATTTATTATTGAAGTTTATTACACATAAATGTCATTAGTTTTTCAATGGAGTGAACCAGTTTTACCAGTTCATGAGTATAAAAAATATTGCGGGTCATAACGCGGCAAAACATAACGCCAGAAAATGAAGCTCAATGCGAGATGATCAAAAACTTCGCAACAGAATAGCATCACGTAGGCAAAAGAAAGAATCGTATAAGAAATAGCATTATGACTTCATGTTACTATCGGGCATAAATCAGCAAGCCACAGCGCAAATGAACATCGAATTATTTATATGTTTTTTGGGAAATTAGCGCCAATGTGTATAAGTACACTATGACACACGCGATCATCTCTCTATTTCAAACAGTGGCAGCAGCAATTACTGGACAAGTGGAAGTGATTCCGAAACAGAAAGATCTTGGAAATGGGGAGATGGGACAGCTATTGATGCCAACGATGACAATTGGTAAATTTAATCTGTATACTAACATAGATATTCCCGGATTTTATGTAAAACAAAAAATTAAATGATTTGTTATTTATAATGTGAATATCCCGATAAAATAATCTAAATTAACTTGTGCGTCACGCCTATAATTACGCAATATTCAAAATTAGTCTCAACATAAGATGGAAGATGTTGAATCATGAGGGGGATATGAAAATTTTCAATACATTGATATTATAACGTAAAAAATACTTTCACAAAATATTACATTACATTACCTTTTTTGATTTAATACTGCAGTAACGAAGTTACGAAGGAATGAATGATCAGACCCTCAAATGAGCCAAAAAGACGCAACAAAATCAGTCAATCACTATTGCCGTTTAATTTGAAATATTGTTCCATTGTAATTTCAGGAAACCGTGGTTTAGTGGTGAACCAAATGGGGCAACAAAAGAAAACTGTTTGCTGAAATACGCCGAAGAGAATTTTAAATGGGTCGATCACGATTGTAATCAACGTTCTGGATATATTTGTCAGCGAGGTGGTTTATCTTAGAAGCAGAAATCGTACAGTGATTAAAATTTTAAATCTGTAAATATCAGTGGTTTTCAAATTCTATGTACCGTTGCCACATTACAGCACCCCATACATAGTTCCTGACGAAACAGACAATTCTAGATATGGCGGTTTATAATAAAACAGGCGAGTTTGTGATCCTCAAGTTTTTAATGTTCGGAGACTATTTGGTCAGGTACAATCTCAAATCACCTCTCAAGTTATTGCCCATTCTGAGAATCACTGTAATAGATTATTTTCATTGCGAAAAAATAATTGTTTATTTGTTGTCGGATGAGACCAATAATACTATTGAAGATGATTTTTATTTGCTAAAACGTTTTGCGATTTTTATTTTACATAAATTTCATCAGTGATATCACTGAAATTCGAGTAAATCGAAAGGCTGATACAAATTCACAATTGTTCGCTAGTGTGCAAAATGTTTAATTGAATTTTACTTTACGCTATTACCTTCGCTGTGGAAGCAAGGACCGCAAAACGTAATTAAAGTGAACGGGATTGTGAAAGCAGCGCCATTTTAGTACGAGCGTTTTACAACTACTCTTCTTATGAATTTGGTGGTTAAACAACCCCGCTTTCGAGAACACATGTACTGGAATTTGAAGAAACGTTCACATAGTTTTACATTTTCCAAAAATATTTCTGATTTTACTTTAATTAATGTATGCAGTACACGTTGTCTTAATTATCGAAATTTACTAAAACAATATTGATAGTTCACTTCCGAATGAACAATCGTTTCGCAAACCCCAAACACGTCACTCGATTACATTTATTTGGGATAAAAATTTATAAGACCTCCGACCCACTGAACTCGATCCAGAATCCAGCGAACACAATGGCATCGAATCCTACTCATTGAAACGGCTCATCCACAATGAAACTAACACTCCAAGTGACCTGCATTCTTTTATTCGCGGCTGACATTTTGATATATTTAGTGATGCACCTTGGGGTCATCTTAAGAGCTTGAATAAATTTTGAGAGTATCATCGCCATATACTAAATGAAGAAAGGAGTCTTTAGTTTTAGTATATTGTTTGATCTGGCCATGATATACATTGCGAACAATCTTAAGTCCGAATGTTACGTTTTTTTTAATTTTAGGGACACGGATTATCTCTTTTGCGACGTAAAGGCCTAGTTATTATTATAACGTTAGCGGTGTCTATCTCATAAATCTAATCCGAGTTTTGATTCGGAAATATCGCAAGTGTCAAGCATTTGGCCCATTTCAATTCCAATTTTGTTAAGTATTCAAATTCAAACAGTACAAATCTGAAATTAGAATTTTATAAATTATTTCATCATTCTACAATAGATGTATCAGGTGATTGCGGTAGAGATGTCTGCTCAGGCAAGGGGGGGTGTCAAGTCAATGGGTATCGATACAAATGCACCTGCGATGCAGGATATTTCGGGACAAAATGTGAAAAAGGTAATCTTAAATACATGTCAGTTTACGTTAATATTGTTGATTTGGAATATCATTTCAATTTATCTTGTCATTCGAACAATTTGTAACAAGGGCATTCACAAGTCTGCCACGGCAGTGATACTTAGTTAAATTAAGTGAGTATTGTTACCATTCAAATTGTTGTCCGTTACAGTAAATATACAGTAATCTTGTAGGAAGTAATCATTGTCATTCAATTCTCAATATAAGTCACATAACCTTTTTTCAGTATTTTATGCAAACTTTTCTTTATGCATGCATTTTAAATAGGATTTTTAATCTGCTGGGAAATGCATAAAATGCAACAAATAATTTTATCATGCGGATTACATATTATTTTGTAACGACAGCAAATTAACATGGAATATATTAAAAAGATTTGAAAATTCAAAGATAAGCAAGACTGAAAAAGTATAGCGCGTCTAATCTAATTTTATATTTAAAGAAAATTCACCCTTTAAATCATCATCATCAACAACGAGACATTGCACGTATTATTTCGACACTATGAGGCAGCTGTGACAAAGTTCAAAATAACTTATTCTGATTTTATGTTTTTCAGATCTTATAACAATATCAACTTCCCCTGCTGGTTACAATATCAATCATAGACAAAGTCTAACTGTAAAATTCAATATAACGTCTTATGTTGGCAACATCAAAATTAGAGTTTCATCCAGTGACAATCCTTCAGTTGCATTGAAATCTACAACAGCAATCACGAGCAATACTGTTTCAACCACCATTTCATTCACTCTCAATCCGTTCGAAGTAGATGCAAAAACGCGTACTTACAACTTTACTGCCACCCCGGTTTCTGATGCCAATTCTCCATATTCTAGAGTGACATCCGTAACGGCATTTAACCCAGGTTCGTAAATGTACATCAAATAATGCATGAAATATGACATCAAAAAAGCTTATTTGAATTTGCTTCTTAATTTTATACAAATATAATGTCCATTCCAACAAATGTGTAAGATTTTCATTATTAACATACAAAAATATTCATCTTTTCTATTCAAAATTAGGTTGAAACGTTTGTGGAGATTTCGTTATTCCAGTAGTGGCACAAAACAGTCACCGTTAATTACATTTCATTTGCAGAAATTTGTAGCTAGACGACCATTAAATAATAAAACAATAATTTTATATATAACGCAAGCAATATGCAAAATTTGCATATTGCAAATCTCGAAGGTTTGCGGCGCCGTATTTATCTCGGAAAAAATAAAAATAATTCGACATATTTGTCATTCAGAACGTTCGTAAATTTTTAATAAATGTGACGAAAACAAGTTTTGTAAATAGGTGAGAAATCGATTTTAATCTAACTGTAATTCTTTCTGCTTATAAAGGAAATTTGACACAAAATATTAATTCTTTGCGAAAAATATACTATCAGTGTTACCTATTCACATAGAGTCCCCAATATGCTTTTAGCTGATATTTGAATTATTTTCGTATGAACAATGTCGGAACGATTTCAGCTATCCTGATATTGAACGCAGCTTATCATGCAAGCAGCCTGCAACTGTTTTTGTGATTATGCTAATAAGTGTCACGACGTGAGAGGACGTCCATTATAATTTCATATTTTTTTGTTCTGTTATTTACTAATAAACCAAGATATGGTTTATGTCTTACATGTGCTGCCACAAGTTTATGAGTCTTAAGATACCAGTCAATTTCAAAGCCACGTGTTTCGAATGCATCGGGTTGATTTATTGTCGGACATGGGCAATTAAAAAAATCGCATGTCAGCGATAGGTCTCAGTAATATCGATACGCTTTGTTTCATTTGCGAAATGTACGTGAAATCTTCAGTTTAGTTGACATAATCTTAAATACATTCGCATATACAATTGGAATGGATCATCGAAAAATCGTTGCAAAAATGTTCCTTTGCTTTCACTTAATATTTTAATATTACGCACTTCGATCAGCTAATTTTCTTAAGACAATCGCAAAATATAAAATTGATATTTACGTCATGAATACTCTCAGTTCGACTACTCCTTGGGGTTCTTAAAACATGAGAGTATGAAGTTGATTCTTTGTTTACAGGATGCGCAAGCTGGAAAACCGACTTACAAGGTTCAAGCGGTTATAATGTAATATTTCTGCTAAATTTAATATGTCGCTTTATGTAAAAAATCACTTTTCATTTTTTCAGAAACATTGTTTATCTCGACGACTTCAGCAAGGGTACAACTAAAACGTGGAGAACGTGTCAATATTACTTTGCAGATAGAGTCATACAATGGAAACGTAAATGTTTTCGTTAAAAACGAAAAAAATGTCACAATTTGTTCAAATAAAAGTCTTGAGATCAGCAATGAAAAACCGTCAGCCACATTGACTTTCAGTGTCGGCCCCATTATTGTTCCAACATCGACAATCACTTACACTATTGAGGAAAGCGCGCTCAATCAACCATCGAACTCAAAAACAGTTGCAGTTAATATGGTCGTAACTGGTAAGTTTGTGGCTAATAGTTTAAACTTGGCATCAATTCTGAAAGGAGTATCCATAATTTTGGCAATCTGTTAAATATTTTATTTACGATAATTTGATAAGTCGCTTTGTAAATGAACCGCATTTGTTTATTTTGGGTATGTCCCCTACAATGGTAAAGGCACAATATTCGAAATATTAATAAAAGAGCTTATAATTGAGCATAAAAACTGGAAAAACTTTTCACATAATATTTTAGAAAATGAAAATCTTAAACGTGAAAGAGCATTTCTTTAGATAGATATTATTAGATATGTATAGCTGTGTTATTATTGGATATCTTCATATATTTAATATATTCTCAGTATAAACTAGGTCATATATATATATACATATATATATGTTCAAATTTCTTTCTGTAAATTACCCTAGGGCCTAGACAGACTTAATACTCTTAACATAAAATTAAAAAAACAAAAAATTTACGATGCATTGAGTTCCACAATGAAAAATGTTTTTCTACAGAATATTGTTAAAACAAGGTTTAAATACTGTCATTGGCAAGTTTATTTATTTAACATAAACAAAACAGATCAATGTGATTCATCTCCTTGCACGAGAAACGAAACCTGTACATATTCTATCACGACTCCACATTACAAATGCACCTGTCTACCTGCTTACACTGGATCATCATGCGAAGGTATAGGTCCTTGCAGGTTTGTCCATGGGAATGGGATTTCCATGAGAATTCCATGGGAGTCGTCCAATGGAATGGGATGGGACAGCACACATTTTTATTTCTCATGGGACACGAAAATTGTATGATTTCGGGGAAATGATGGTAAAACATTTCGTTATGGACTTCGTGTCCATATATTTGAGCATAGTCCTTTTGTCAGTTATAAAGAGCAAAACATATTTATCATTAACAATATACTTCGTGAAGGGGCTGATGAACACATGTATAATTGTTACGAATATAAAGTTAACAGGGCCGTAAATTTTGTTGTTTTGCATGTCTATTCGTACATGTAGTCCTAGTTAGTAGAGGTTAAGCCTAAATTCAACAATTTTTATGGAATTTTATTCCAATGGGAATCCCATGGGATGGACAGGCATAAATAATTGCTATGGGATGGGAATGGGGCAGAAAAATGTGTCCCATGGACAACTCTAGGTCCTTGCATTCATAATTACTTATTCCCGTATTCTGGGTTGATGGGGAGACGAAAATTATTGTTTCAATCCAATATTTGGGCGAAGAATTCATTATGTTAATTAGGGGTCGGCAACCTTTTGTCGCTCGCGGGCCAAAATAATGGTTGCAAGTCATTGTCGGGCAGTACATATTTTTAGAAATATGTAAACTGAACGGATGATACTCTTTATAATAAAAATGAAGCAATGATACATCTCCCAAATAGAATGTAGGTTTATTTCCTCATTGCATTGCATTTTCGGCGCCATTGAAACCTTTGCACTTAACATCAACTTTTCTGCGTTTTGTTGCCATTTGTCTAATTATAATTAAGTCATAGGCTCATTAAACGAGTAATTGTAAATTTTATACTTGTTAGATTATAATATAATTTAGTCTACACGCGTCTCACAATGAATTGTTTAACGTGAAAAATATAATCGTCAAAACAGCCGTTTTGTTACTATAATTCAATGAAGCGTCGCGGGTCGGATTATGTTACTCCGCGGGCCGTAGGTTGCCCACACCTGATGTAAATAAACCTGAAAATATAATAATATTATTATTGCACTTGGGTGTAAAATGTGCAATTAGAGGATGATCATTTTCTGGAGTAATTATTTTTAAAAACATAGGAATAATTGAAACAACATATTATTGTTCTTATTTGCAAATGAAAATTTCAGACATTCATCAAGTAATATTTCAATACAAGTAAAGTATTGATGAATTTTTGCAGAAAGAAGGTTCATCACGAATACTGGTAAAAACTGCAAATATCACGTCAACCTTCACGATAAAAAAACATTCACCAGTGCAAATTCAACTTGTAGTGCGCTAGGAGGAGAGGTCGCAATGATGAAAACCACTGAAATTCAAGACTTGGTTGAGAGCCAAATAATATCACAATATGGAGCCAACGGAACAACGCTTCAGTTTTGGATCGGTGGATACAAAATTAATAATTCATGGCTATGGATTGATGGAACATCCGTGCCGACAACAGGACAAAATTCAAAATGGCCTCGATGGGTCAAGGACCCATCTGATAAAACAGGCAATATGATTCTTAGTTCTTATCGAGATGGCCACAGAAACAATATGCGATGGTATACGAATAAAGACCAGAACGGGTACATATGTGAGATATCAGGTAAAAATCCCTCAAGTGATGACCTGGTGTGACGGATAACACATCTATATACTTTGCTAACTAAAGTCACGTTCGAATTTGTCATTAAGCAAGGTAGACTAGCCTTTAGCATAGGGCCCTAGAGCCTCAGTGGCCTCGATATTTAATTTTACACTATAGTATTCATTTTTAAGTTGTTTTCAAATTTCGACGGATTGTTTTAAACGAAGAATGTAAAACCAAGTTTTAGAATTATTTAAATGTGATCCCCCCCCCACACACACACACTAAGAAAAATATGATGCAGTAAATCAATTGAGCACTTTCATCCTGTTTGTGACTAACAGTTAATATGACCTCAGTTTTTGGGCGCGATTAAACCCTATTACATCTGAGTTTCATGAAATGTTCTAAATTCGACTTACTATCCAATCACTTTTTGAAACTACAATCTAAAAAATTATAACAATAAACAAATATCAAACGAAATAAATACTATAAATTGTATTTGAATCATTAAAATAACTCTTTCAAAGTAAATATACTAGTTCAGTGAGAAATCCGTGTCTATAATAGACAGTTTGCGATTACTAGAAATGGAGACGATACAATAGTATGGAAATAGTGATAGTGAGAGTTTATTTCAGATGTAACATTAACAAACCATATTACATTTTACATGCCCCGTGTGATACTGGAAAATCAGTAAAAATGCGTTAACACAAAATAAACTTAATTAAATTTCTCTTGATTTACCAAAAATTTTTATTTCCTATAATTAGTCGTGAGGTGGTGTGTTTTATTTCTTGCTAGAAATTATAAAACCAATGCAATGTTGCAAAAGTATAAACAGGATTGCGATATTTTGTTATGTTCACAACTGAAGCATAAGATTAGTATTGATGAAACTAACACGTTCCGATAGATATACCAACGAATAATTTAAATTTGTTACAGTGGAGCATAAATGCGGATCAACTCACTGCGGAATTGGAGGTACTTGTATGCTTTCGGGATGCCAGGAACACTGCAAGTGTTTACCAGGATTTAATGGAAAGAATTGTGAAACAAGTAAGGTTCAGACTTTTATGAATGTAACCTAATGAACGGCCCCTGTATAAAAAATTCTTAGCACAAGATAAATTGGGATGTGGAATAAACCTTGACATTCCGATAACTAAGACTTGTGCTACTTCAAAATTGACAATAAATTAGAAAAACTTTGATCAATCAGCAATGTTCCTTCATTACTTTGAGGACTTAAAGAATTTCCTACATGTTAATTCAAAGGAACCAATATGCTCATCGTATAGATACTTATTAGCACGTGATTGAAGCACAGGCCATCAAGTTCAAATAAGGAAAGTTCAACTTCAAAATATGCAAAAATTGATCATATTGAAGTGATCAATAGTTCATCGATACCTAATAGCAAACTGCTTTTCAAATCCAAACAATTTATTTTATTTGAAGCTATTAGGTTTTGTTATGTTCAGAACAAATAGAGCTTATGGCAACAAAATATAACTACACCATATATGTGAATGAAAGTTTCGTTGCTGAACTGAACGTGATCAGTATTGATGGACTCGTACGTATTCGGGTTTATAAAAATAACGATTTGAAAGAAGTCATTGCTTCGCAACACAATGCTAGTGGATTGGTAAACTTTACGATTGGACCAATTAACCAACCAAGTACTGGAATAAATTACACCTTCTACGCAAGTCCAGAATCAAATATCTACTCCTACAATTTTACAACTTTTGTCCGTGTTGTAATTGAAGGTATGAATTAGCGATCTGCCGTTTAGTATAACTGCTATTTAATCGGCTTTAGGCCACACGATATATCTTTCTTTTTAAATATTTTTATAATATTATTCGATACGAGAATATGAATAAAATTTGTTTTTGCATTTCGATACCTTGTCAATATATCAGTAAAATACAGGATATGTAATAATAAGATTCGCAATAATATAAACTGATCAAATACAACTACTGTTAGTGTTGTTATTGATGGTATGAATTTACGGAATGCATTATTAGTAAATAGCCTATATCTGCTATTAAATTCGGTTCAAATATCCGCGGAGTTTTTTTAGGCCACATTCTCCATCTAATTTATAAATATTACAACAATACTATTCGGGAGCAAAAATCAAATATATATAATTTCGGTTTTACATTTTGAAAACTTGCTAATAAATCTGTAACATCAGAAACAGTGTGTATAATGATAGAACGTGCAAAACTTTAAATTGACTTAATTGCTTAACTGCTGCTGATGATATATCTATCTACATTTTCTTAGCTTCATCATCTATCACCTCCGTCACTCCACAATTTGTAACTATACCGATCGAAGAAGATAAGAAGAAAATAAGCTGCGATGCATCAGGCGTGCCTATCCCAAGTGTTCAATGGCACAAAGGTGATCAACTAATCAGGAACGAATTCGAAACCGGTGTCTACCAAACAACATCGCCCGGTCATGCTACTTTGCGTATCGATAAAGCAACAAGTAATGATGTCGGGATATATACATGCTTTGCATTTAACGTAATAAACGGCGCAACCAAGATATCGAATCAATCAGCTGTGGTACGAGGTAGGCAAATTTCAAAAAAATAAATTTTGAAAACTAGGATTTTGAATATTAATTTACTAGAAGTTCAACGGAGATCATACGACGAATAACTTACTTGTCAACAACCAATCTATCTCAAATACAGTAGTCATAAATTGAATAAGAAGAGCATGCTGTGTAGAGGAAGTCAAGTGTCAACAATATTTCATTAATATAAGATCATACCAATTACCGATCCTATATTCTTATATATTTAGAGCCATTTTTTTGCAATTTTAATTTTTTTTTTCTAGGTAAAATTTTACTGGTTCAGTCGAAGGTTGCAAAAACATCAAACGGAGTTGCTTCTTTGACTTGTACATATGAAGGATATCCGCTGCCTCAAATTATTTGGAAGTGGCATCTTCCAGCGAATGTGAAAATAATTTCAAATGAGAACATAGCGATGTTTAAAGAAAGCAGTATAAGTGACACCCTGAATCCTTTGCAAAAGAGCACAAGTCAGCTTAACATAACATTAGTCGAATATCTTGGCGCAACAAAGTTTTCCTGCTCGGCAACAAATAAATATGAAGAATATACCGATAATGAAAAATTGTTTGAACTGAACATGTGTAAGTATCTAAAAACCAGATCAAATTAATTGTAAAAAGTATGGACTATTTACATAAATGTATTTTTCTATTTAGATGTGGCCTTGAATTCAATTTCATCGTTTCATCTTTACGGCAAATCAGAGCCAGACAAAAGAAATTATACCGACGCAAAACGGTACTGCCACTCCATAGGTAAAACACTCGCAATTGTATCAAACAATCAGACTCAAGACCTACTTAAAACAAAAGCTAACAATCTCGGGATTACAACTTATTGTGAGTGAATATTTTATTTAGTTTTATAGTATATACTTCAAGTACTCGCAGGAAGATTCAAACATAGATGAAATTTATACTATTGCGTGAATGGATCACAAAAAGTGTTTTACAATGAGTCAGTTCCACTTTCAATTGCGTTTTTAATGCGAATATTTATCAGTTTTTAGCCATTGTTACTGTAATATTGTTTAGTGTATCTTGGAGCACAAAGAAACACAACAGGTAGTCAAAAGGTTTGGAGATGGAATAATGGGTCTGTGCTGTACAACGAAACAAAATACGGACCGTGAGTATTCCTCTGATGACAATACAATATAGGAATTGTGCGCAAATTTTAAGTATTGAAGTTTCCAACATGAAGTTGTTTTCAATATTTTCACAAAACTATTGCCCGTATAAGTTACACGTATTTGCATCTCAACTTCGCATTTAACATTGAGGCTTAAAACTGTATCCATTATTTTATTTATACCTTCAATTCAGATGGAAGTCTGAACGACGTAATATTGTAGATGGAACGTATGTTGCTTGGGGAAATGGTAGACCGTCGACGAATACGAATTGTTTAGTAATGAGAAAAACTTTCCAATGGCGATGGGCTGACGGAGACTGTGCAGAAGCAAGAGGATTTATTTGCGAGGGACAATGTGAGATGATAAGTTTTGTATAGCTAAATAAAAATTGAGTTGTAAATAGGTACATACCCATGTGTACACACAACAATAATGCAATATGTACGGAAAGACCCGAAAAAATGGAACCCATATAGTATACAGTTGCACATAGATCCGTTCGATGAATTTCGAAAAGGATCAGTTTACCATGAAATTGTACGGTTGCAAAGCAATTTTATAGATACAATTTCACCCTTTCCACCCTCCTTCAACGATAAAGAAATATTCCTATCCTAACGGTAGATTTAGAATAGAAAGGTATTTTAAGGAATTTCATATGATAAGTTTGAAAACTGTGTTTGTTTTAGTGAAGGGAATTCCTCTCGACTTTCATGTAAATTTAGCCAAATGCTCTTCGAACTTCACTGTCAAATGGAGTCCGTCGATCAATGCATTGGGAGTGACACACAGGTTTGTGCGAATTCTTCTACAATTGAAAACCATTTTAAAATTTGATTACCGGTATATCGTAAATGACAAACTTATGATGAATTTGTTTCAGTCATTGCCTGATCTTTTTTTTTACAGTAGTTTTACAATAGTTTGTAGTAATAAGAAAATGCGCATTAGGAATTTTCTGTCTGCCATGCGATGGATTAAAGTTTTAAATGATAGGTGTTGCGAACAATTTGATGATAAAAATTTTGTTTTGCGAAATATCTTTATTTTTCCTTCGCATATTTTACAGGCTTCAAATTGAGCGAGTGTCCCCAGTGAAAAAGGAAGTCATTAACAATACCGACATTACGCCTCTTCAACAGAATGTAATAAGCAATATGTTTATAGGGTTGAATTTCTCAACAACTTATAACGTGAAGGTGAGTAACAAAATATATATATAATAAGAATAGATAGATTTTAAAAATAGATTGATCGATGTAGGATACGTGACATTTGGTTCTATGACGTTCAAGAGCGCAGCTTTGGTATAAACTCTTTGGTATAAAAATATTAAAATAAACGAGTTGCTAGAATCAGGAGAATAGCAGAAAAAAATTTCTGCCACATGACTTAAGAGAAACCACATTATTATAGACTGAAATGTTTATAAAAAATATGGGTACCAAGATGTCGCATAACCTGAACCCTAACCTAACAGCAAATCGTCATTTTCCCATGTACGTTTTTTTTTGTTTTCAGGTTATTGTGTGTCCTGATTTGTGCAAATATCAGCACATTACCACGAAGACAATAACTACGGATGCAACAATACCTGGTCCTGTAAAAGCTTTCAATATGACACACGTAAAAGAAAACAACACTTGCCTTATTCAATGGGAGATGGACAACACACATGGCATTACGGAATTTTATGTATGTTTGTGATACGAAAACGACAGGCTTTTGTTTAATTAAAAACAAATTCATAACATTTTATTCTAAAAGTTTAAACGTAACTTTCAGTTGTCCAATATGAATGATATTCTCCCTATTAAGTCATTGGCATTATGAACTTTTGAATAAAATAACACTTCCATGATATAATTACTTCCTGTCGTCGATTTTCGGTTACGTAATTAATTTAAATTCTAAAAACCAATTTTACCTTGTTGAACAGGTGAAAGGAACATCATCCTTTGTCTACGTAGCATCTACAAAATCTACACCGAAACAAACTGTTCTAGATAAGAATATTTCAGCGGAAGAAAGATATTTCATATTTTCCAACATGTCATTTAATCGAAACTACACATTCAGTATTTCTGCCCGGACATGTGCTGGTACTGGACCGGGTATATTTGCTGTCGGAAATTGCAAGACAGAGAGAGCAGGTTTAAGCAATTTAATATATAATCTACCCAAATGATTTGATTTTTGCGGGACTAACTACTGCACGTCTTCTATGCTTTTGTGCCGACGGATCCGTATCTGCATATTATGCAAGGGTGCTGTAGCAAAAGTAAAGATAACGATCCGATAAGATAACCAAGGTCAGACGAAACGTTACAGAATTATATTTGTATTAGAGTGCAGCAAGACTATTGGATCAAATATTATATTCTAGAATATAGATTGTGACAATGCTTCAGTACAATAAATACCGGATTACAACCTCATTAATGGGAAATTAAATTTGCTTGGCAAAGTGGCACTATTTAAAGTAAAGCACTATATGTAAAACTGGTCTAACAGTCGTTGTATTTTAGCACCAGCTATAGTTCCTTCTCCGATTGTGGCCACTGATTCAGACGGTGATGGAACGGTTCCAATTAGGATCAATTTACCGGACGAAAGTAATGGACCTATCAGGTTATTTTAAGTCTTTGTTGAAAAATAACTCGCTTTAGATTTTTATTTGCCACGGAGGGGACCTATTCTTATTGTTGCTCTTGTGAAACAAAACGCTTTTCTTCTCAACTACACTACCAATTGCTTTGAAATTTTCGGTGAAAAAAGGTTGGTGTAGTCGCCCGAAAGCTATTAGCCTACTTTCATTTATCTTAAAATGATTCAATCAATTTACCGCATATGTAAAAATTTCACAGTTGCATATTTGTTATTGTCGTATTCAAACCTGAAAAATCGACTTCGATGACATTTGAAAGCGCACAAGATCTACGACATATAAAGGGCAAAACTTTGAAGACTAATGAAGCTTTCGTCGCTCTCGCGATTTCCAGGTAATTTTACAATTCTTCCCTTTCTTTATTTGATTTACGAGTCTTACGAGTCAGCTATCTTTTATAATCATGACACCCCTGACATTATTTTAGTGTGAATGCACATAGCCTACATACAAAACCATCAAACTTTTACTTTCAATTTTTTAAAAACACATACTAATATAATATAAAACATTTTGATGCTAGATAATATTTTCAATTATTTTTAACCAAATTTACGTATCTAAACGTATTCAAAAACAATCATTTTCGCCCATTCAATATTAAAAAATTGATCGAACATATCACTGTCTGAAACTCCATAAGGCTAATTAATATATCTCCTTACAGAGCAAGCATTTCAAACGAAATCGGAAACATGCTTTACATAACAAGAAAATTGGGTGATGAAAGCACATCCGATTGCAACATATATCATGTAAACGAAGTGAATCGGATGAAACGAGAGGCTGGTTTTGATGGAAATATTCAAGCAAATAACTTGAAATTGGAAAACGAAGCTGAGTACAGGTTCCTATTGTTCTTATTTAGTCGGAATGCTTTGCTATGAATGACGTTAACTAATCACTAATAATTTCAGCTATTACGTTGTAACTTCAACACCAGGAGATGGAAATAAAACACTGATCAAAGCGAGTGAAGTTTCCTATTTTACCAAAATTACACCTACGTCTCGTAAGTCTGAACAAATTATTTTGCTAACATTTTTCCAAAGTAAAAAGTTCAATATCTCGTATTTTACTTGCGTAAAGAAACTTTCTAACATAACAATAATTTTTTTTTGCAGCGACGCTTGTTATAATTATTATCATCGTCTGTGTTGTAATTGTTGGGTTTGTATTTATTGGGATATATTGTCATAGAAGGTAAGTGATATTTATTTTGAAGTCAACGAAAATTTTCTAATTTTGTCAAAGATTTAACAATACAAAAATTCTCGATTCCACCACTTATTTTCAAAGTACGTTTGACGTCTTGTCATTGAAGGAGATGTATGCAAATCCAGAGTCTTGTCGCGGGACACTAAACTCCAATCACATAAAAATTTATGCCTATTGCGCCCCATGGAACTTGAAAATCCTAGGAACGAGGCCGCTTCTATTAAATAAAAAAAAAACTATAAATATTCATCCTTTATCATGCCGCAAAATTAATAATAAATAAGCATATAAAGAAAAACATGTTGATAAAAAACTCAATAAAAGTAAAAACCAAATGTAGCTATGACGTTATCACGTTGACATGGCGAATAAAATGTGTGCTGTCCCATCCATTGAGACGTTTTCCATGGATATAACAATCTCACGCCTGCAAATCCATACCATTTTGATTCTTTGTTAGAGTTATTAATGACGTATATTATGTCACTTTGCATAGGAAACTTGGCCAAAAGAAAATGTTCATAGATGACGTGAATATGCAAGAATTACAAGATAATGTGAATGATGGTAATTTTGATTTATGGCTTCATGAGCGTCATTCAATTGTACTCTGCTGTTCTGAGGGCTTAGATTTTTAGTTATGAGGTTTACAAACAAATTAATTAAACGATTTGTGCAAGTTCTTCAGTACTACAATTGCATAATCTAAGCTGCATAACAAATGTAATTCATTTTCTAAGACCACTTGTACGCAAATATCGCAATGGATAAAATGGAACCGAGGTCACCTTACGATATTCCACTTGAGCAACTTCTCGAAAGGTACAATCGTTCAAATGAAAAAGATGGTGCAAAATTTATAGAAGAGTTTCAGGTACGTTTAACATGATAGACCCAAACACAAATAATTTTTTGCACGCTCAACTTTAATTGCCATCACTTGATACAGAATCTCAAATCAGACGCAAAAGGACTGAATTATCCCACAACCATTGCTTCCTCTGAATCACTAAAGGGCAAAAACAGATACAAGAATATTCTACCTTGTGAGTTTATTTTTGAACTTGAGATTAAGTGGTCATGAAGTCTTTCTATTGTTTCAAGTTTGTTTTCAATATCCTAACCCGATTTTTTTTTTTAATCAGAAATTGTTCAAGTATTTTTACTCAATTAAAATACATCAGTCAGGGCCAAAGCAATATATGGTATCGATAAATTTTCTTTTGCAATTTTAGAAGATTTTAAGACTTTATGGACACCCTATATAGTATATATATTATTGCAGAATGAAACCTAGTATTGTAGAATTGTATACATATGAGCGCAAAATTATTAAATTATGAAGTCTTGTCAATTTAAAATATATTGTTCCTTATTGCAATGTTTTGTTCAACAGCCGATTTATCGCGTGTGCTGCTTGACGGAGAAGGAAATATGAGCTACATTAACGCTTGCTACATTAATGTAAGTTCCAACGTGAAGTTCAATTTTTTTTTCTCTAAAAACTGTTTTAATTCAGTTTGTTTTCTAGGGATTCAGTAAAGCAAAGAAGTTTATTGCTACACAAGGACCGTTGCCAAGTACAGTAAATGATTTTTGGAGAATGATTGTTGAGCAGAAAGTAAACTGCATCGTCATGTTAACGAAATGTATGGAAAATGGAAAGGTAAGAAGGATTACTAAACTTGATAGAGCATGTAAACGTGTCTGTGTCCTTTTACGTGAATTCAAACGAAGCAAACATGCTTCAGATTTAACGACTCACAAATTTGTGAAGATTGGATAAAAATATCTTTTAGTCCATTTGAAGTGAGTGCAAGTACACACCTCGAACCCATGAGACTAATGTCTTCTGCACCGAAATGACATCGAAATATTTGAATTCATTAAGTCGTAACATGAACATTATAGGCTTGCACGTAACTTACGGATTTACGGAAATACGAAATTTTTTCGAGTTACGGAAGGGAAGTTACGAATTACGTAAAGTCGTAATTATTGGTCGAGCGCTTTCGCGATTGAAACGAGCTCTCTTCAAAGCATTCAATTCCGTCGATTGTAAAAAATTATTGTTCAATAAGTAGAAGAAGTTAAAGTTCCGATATTCGCAGCCGTTTGTTTCTCTCTTGTTACGCAGTTGGGGAAGGCATGAAGCGTTGCCACCCCCGTTTGAGAAACATTTTTGATGTGAAAATTCATCTACAAAAAAGCAACAGCGTCGTTTTACGATCGCGCATCTTGGTTTTCCGGTCAAAACGATATTACTCTGTGCATTATCACCGTAACGCAATTACCACCGCCAAACTGTTTTCTTTAACACGATATGGTATCTTTTTTATTCGGCGCTGATAATGATAAATAAGAATGTGTGATTGTTGATTGCAATTCCGGAAGGCGTATTTCTCCTTCTCTCCATGAAACGGACATGAAACGAATTTTACCAAAAGGCTCTCAAAATGAGAGAAGGGGACTTTCTTTTCCCGACCCGATCACTTTTAATAATACAAATCACAGCGCATTGAAAAGTAAAATAGAATTTATCAGCATTAATTTACAACGAGTTACGGGTAAGAATTTACCGACGGCTATCGCTGACTGATAGCAACGATGGTTGTGAAAGAAAACTTTTCCTTGACTTTTTGCGTAATGTTTTTCAAATCCCAATTTTTCCCAAATATTTATTTTCCGGTATTTGTATTTATTTTACTTTTATGTATTATTTATTTGTTCTAGTTTGCCGTTACATATGGTATATATTTTGCGTTTCTATTTTGATCCATTTATATAGTTGCCCGTATTTAAATAGTTCAAATTCAAGTGTTGATTAGCAATGCTTAACCATTCTTTATTGTTAATATCAACACTTGATATATGAACAATGGAATATCATACTGTTTTTGGCTGTTTTATTTCGAATTGGGGTATAAACAGGAAAATATCCGTGACCCTTCAACACGACTGCCTATTTTTAGGTTTCTCGATCATGCGAAATTTAAGAAAGCGCTTTCGCGACGAATCGGAACCGAAAAAGCGAAAAGAGCGATTGATTAGTCGACGTCAATACGTCGCCGTGATAATTAATGTCGGGCTTATCAAACGACTAAGACAACGGAAAAGAAATTGCGTAATAAACCAACGCAACTTCGTGTTTTTGGCATCAGTAAAGGGATTGAGACGGCAGAGAAACAACAAAACGACGAAATTTCCCGCGAACCGGTAAAAATCCTTTGCGGACCGACGGTTGGTAACCAATGTTTATTCTGTGCGAGATCTATTTTCTATTACAATATCTTGATGTTCTGTTACCGGTTTTATCGTTATATATCTGTCTGGCCTTGCTCAATATGTTTTTCACAAATATGATTACGGTAAATGTCTTTACCAAATGGGGCAACTTATTCTGATTTATCGTCGACTCGAATACCACCGGCAACCGACCAAACTCGTGTCAATCTTGGCTGATAAGATCGTCGCCTTGAGTTGAAAAAAATAGGTTAATTTTTTCGTGAGTGCAAAATAAATGTCACAAAATACATTGTTTTGCGATATAAGGTATTTCATATAAGTACGGTTTTCAAATTATGCGCGAATAGTTAATATATATATTTGATCCAAATTTATGGCGAATAATGTCATAACATTCAGGCCGCGAAATGATTTGATGTAAAATGAAGCATGGTAATCGGAATATCGCCAATAAGTCGGCATCAATAATTATTATAAAATGCTAACTAGGTAGTAAATTCGGATAATGTAAAAAACGGTAAAACAACAAGTTTTCGTCGCGAGGCAAGCGCAAGTATGATCAAACGAGAGAATACGCTCGTCGTTGATTAAATAAGTATCTCGAAATTTTTATGAAAACCAAACTTCGATGTCCCGTTCGGGAAATAAGTGGATTCAATTAGTTGTTATGGTAGGTTTAAATGTGTGAAAAAATAAATATCGCAATTACGAAATTACGTAATCGATTTTGCCGTAATTATGGAATTGATTTTTGTTAATTACGTGCAAGCATAGTGAACAAAAAAGAAAAAAAGATAATATTTATTATCAAATGTGCTATTACAGAAAAAGTGTGAGAAATACTGGCCTTCCCAAGGTCCCCCCAAACAATTTGGAAATGTATATGTTGAAAATATAGACGAAATATTCACTGGTTGCTACAAAATGTTTACATTAAAAATTACAAAAAAGGACGAACAGGTGATCAATCAATAACATATTTTAAATTACCTTAATGCTGGGTTGTAATGCCCTAATAATAAAAACAAATTTTGATTAACACGATATATTAGATCCAATGTAACAAATAAGGAGCTTTCTAAGGAGCAAATATTGAATTTGATTTGTGTATTTCATAACAACTCTATTTACCAAATTTTGTTTATTTGCAATCATTTAATGCTATACCCTAGAAAGACCTTCAGGAGCAGAAAGTTTTTTTCTTGTTTACAAAGCGTTTTGATACCTTTTTGTGGTCCGTTGAACAGAATATAATAAATTAATATAATTAGAATAGGATAATTATGTTTATTCTCATTCATTCATTTATTTAACAGAGTATAAAAGTAGTTCTGCTCCAATACCTAAATTGGCCTGACCATGGAGTGCCAGTTACAACAACAAATTTGATGAGATTTCATGGAATTGTCAAAAAACACCAATCAAATGCACCTATAGTTGTTCATTGCAGGTGAAATATCCAAAGTTTTATACAACGCGTATTTCGCTCAAACAAGACGTCGTACAAGAAACAACCAATGATATCTATTGATGTGTAAGGTTTATGTTTTGGAATAATTGGAAGCTTTCCGATTTGGCATTTACTGTCCGAATTATAAGACTCCGCAATATGTGCTAGATGGCATAGATAGGTTTTGCATCCGAGAAATCAAACAGAGCGGTCGAACCTTCAAATAAAAATGCCTGTTGAAAAAAAAACTATCCTGTTTTCTACTTTAATCAGGGGCGTGTTGTAAATAGTAATTGGGTAGTTTATTCAAGTTTCAATTAGTAACGTTTATAATTTCAGTGCTGGGGCGGGAAGAACTGGCGCATTCATAGCTTTAGATTATTTGCTTCAAGAGAGTGAATCACTTCGATCAGTTGATGTTTTCAATTGCATTTTGAAGCTGAGGGGACAGAGAGTAGATATGGTGCAAACATGTGTAAGTGCTTATTTAACTAACATACTAATTAATTCACATCATGCAATACAATTTTGTGAATTTTCGTTATATATAATGGGAATAAAAAACGCAAAAACTTTCTTTATTACCTACAAATTTCTCCACCAACGACTCTAAATCAACTTATTAAATTAGTGTGAAAACTTTAATTCAGCGATGTTTTTTCTGTTTTAATTTTTGAGACTGTTAGACTTTATACCATTTTGATAGCTCCTTGAGGATCAATATATTATGGTGCATAAGCGAATCAACGACTCTAAACCAATTTTGTAAATTAGTGTGTAACCTCTAATTAGTAAATATTTTGATTTTTCAAGGATCTTAGACGATATCGCATTACATTTCGATCAATCTACCTATTTATCATATAACTATATATTTTTTAAGGATCAATATATCGTGGTGCATAAGCTTGTTTTGGAGAATTATTTATTTGGGAAAACGGATTTGGAATCGGAAAAATTCAATAGCTTTCTAACCAGGTAATTATTTTTTACAAAAATTGCTGATCGAATTATTGAAAATGGAAACAAAATGAAATCATAGAAATTTGAATTATAAAAAGTGTAATACCGAGGTACAATCAAATCAGTATTGGTAAAATTGCACTGTAGTTAAATTTTTATAACTCGAACAGTCTCTTCAATTTTAGGTCGGATTCGTAACAAATCTTGATAACTATATATTCACTATATATTGTTTAGCTCATTCCTGGCATTGTACGTAAATTTTCATTTATTTCAGAGTTACTTCGGATATTAGTATATTACAAAAACAGTTCAACGATTTGGCCAAAATTGGGCCAGTGAATCAGACAAGACAAGGGCAATTGGCGAAACAACCTGAGATGAACAGAAATAAGGAAGTGATACCTTGTAAGATCAATTATCCAATCGGACATATGATGTGCGCTTCTAAATTTATATTCGTTTAATTCGCGTTTGCGTTTGATGAAAAGTTTTAGACAGTATCGTTTTACATCAGCATAATGAGATAGAAAGTTCTTAAACATTTTTGATATTCATTTTATAAATTCGGTTTGGTTCTTACAGCGCAAACTCGTATCTAAGACAAGGTATTCATTTAAAATGTCGGTTCATATCCGACTATGTATACATAAAAGGTGTTTAAACGGTGTTTTGTGCCATCATATGGTTCCGTAAGTATTAAGTTTGCTTTCATATATATTCAAAGGTCATACAATTCTGACAATTAAACTATTATGCATAACGGTTCCTTGGCCTGCCGGGATTTTTCATTGAGATTTCGCTTAATCAAAAAGTTTGAAAATCACTGGTAGGCATATTTGTTATCTTATCTAAGTGTTATAGTGAATTTTTCAATAAAATGTTCCACGTTGCTAATATTTTATCCTTTAAAAAACAATATGTTTTGCAGTTTCACGAACGAGCATTGTGATAGTCCGCAATCCGACCGAAGCAGAAACCCCTTGCCTGAATGCATCGAATATGGAAGTAAGAAATATTTCAATAATTTCAACTATTAATGTTCAAATTCAAACCACAAATTTTTATGATGTATTTTGATATTAAGAATAATGACATTATATTGCTTTTTTTACTTTCAGTCATACGATAACGCTACAAAATTAATTGCTGCTCAAGGTCCTTTACAACAGACAATTGGTTTCTTCTGGCGTGCAATTCTCGACAACAATATCAGCACCATAGTGATGCTAACGGAGTGCAAAGAGAATAAAAAGGTAGAAACTTGCAGAAACCTTTGTAGACTTGACGAACAAAATCACATAGCTGCGATAGTATATCCTAAACAACGAATGTCCTTCAAAATAATGCATGCCGATCGAATGAATATTTCGGAAAGGAAGAGAATGCAAAAGAACTATCTAACTAGAAGTCGTACAAGTCTTTGTTGACGATAAATGTCCCTAATGACACAGTTTACAAGTATAAAAAATTATGTTGCAAAATTAGGTCTCGAATATTCAAATTAAATACTTCGGAAACAAAATGACATGTGCCAAATTATGAATCGTGATATCTCCGTGAAAGCTCTAAGTATGAAAAATGGTACGTCCAAAGTATTTGAACCAAGATGGCGGACGCCGGAACGTAGTATGTGTACCAAGTAAGAGTCAGGCCATAATTTCAGGTACAAATACTACCGGAGTCACTTAAACAGTCCCCGAGCTCGTAATAGAATGAAAATAAGAGGAACTGGTATAAAATTATGGTCTCACCCTAACCTGGTACACATGCTACGTTCCGGTTTCCGCCATCTTGTTCACATACTTTGGGAGTACCAGAAAATTGATTACTATTTATACTAAAATTAAACAATTTATATTAAAATTTATACTAATAATATTCTTCAATTTTATTACCCAATTTGGCTTATCTATTTTAAATGGAATAACTTTCAAATTTAGTTGAAGCTAAATTCCTGGAATAGATAATGATGGAAAATAAATTTGAGCTTGATGATGACTATTAAAAAGAAAACCTTTTATGATCGTTTGACACAAAAAATGAGTTGTCATTATTGATCATATTTACTCGTTGATTGTTGTAATTAACACTTTATAAATAATAACAGGAACAATGCTTTCCTTACTGGCCCAGCGACAACGAGAAAGATCTCGTGATTAATGAAATTACCATTCATTTAAAATCTGCCAGTACTGAAAATGAAATCACCAGACGTGAATTACGTGTAACCAAAGAGGATGAGGAAAAGGTATATTAGTTCAGTTAATAACTGATATCCAATTTTAACGCACTTAATAATAGCACATGCCACAACATGTCTATACCGTAATGCTTATTCACAAAACTGCATTAAAACCGCAGAACCGCATTAAAATTTTTTATTTGTATAAGCAATCATTACTAATTATAATATTCGTTAAGGTAATCATCCAATACCAATACACTGGTTGGGCGTCGAACAAATGTCCTGATGATGCTACGGCAGTACTTGAGCTGATAGAGAAAATGCAATCCAGCGTGAGAAGGGATAAAAATTCTGCTGTTTTGGTTCATTGCAGGTGCGTGTTATATCAAGACATACAACCACAGTAAAAAAAATTTGATCTTTTGGACAACGCCCACGCCAAAAATAAACATCCTCGTCAAAGCTAAAAATTAGCAATTAAGCAGTTAGGATTTGGTTGGGGGTTGAGAATGCAAACTGCGCTGGAAATTCAAATTTCAAATTCATTTCTAACTCTAACCCGAACTAGATAATTACTGATTTGTTTTTTAAAAACGTGGTGTTTTTTCCTCAAATATCATTAGTTACAGAGGCGATGTACCAAAGATCCCGGTAATTGAATAAAACATTATCTGTAAATGCCTTATACAAAAATGTGTAACAGATGCGGTATAAAATTCCCATAAAGTATGAAACATAGAAAATTTGGAGACCTCCAGAAGTATGCGCACCAAGATGGCGCACAACCTGAACATAGTATGTGTGTACCGGTCAGGATTCAAGTTGTGCGATATCTTGGTGCGCATACTTCTGGAGCAGCAAATTTGGAGTGAAATATCGCTTTTCGCAAGATTTAAAAAAATGGAAAAGCATTTCTTTGAGTTAATACTGAATTGTGAAATCGATCGATGCATCAAAAATCAGCAAAAATAGCAAAATAATATTATGCGAATGTGGATTATTTAACAAAAAGTTCCAAGTTAAAATTTGATAATATTTGAGTAAACCAAATAATATTCCAATAATACTGAAAATTTTAAAGCGAATTTTAATAATTGGTCCGCAATAATATATAATTTACACGGTTTGTTTAGTGACGGGGCAGGAAGGACCGGAAGTTATTGTGCAATTATTAATCTAATTGAGAGATTGAAATGCGAGAGCAATATCGACGTCTTCAGAACTGTCAAAGATCTGAGGGATTGCAGACCAGGGATGGTGCAGACATTGGTAAAATACACAGAGTATTAGTAATTGATTAGAATGAGGTACCACATATAGTGAAACATAATTCAGCTAGGTAACAAAAACAGCGTTACCTTCCTCAAGCTTGTTTTTTGTTTTTTAACATTTGTATAAAAATGTTCTTTTAATATTCAGAGGAAGGTGTTATCACCCCGGTACAGTGACAGATGAATCAAAGTAATTGAACAAAAAAATTCTGATGAACATGCGAACTGTATTTTAGCATAGAAGCAAATACCAATACCAAGTCAAATAATAACTAATACAATGAGATACAACTTGCTTTTTCGTATATATTACAATAAATAGGTGTTCAATTGCATTTAGACTAGAATAGCTATTTATTACTTTATGTATTTTATATTTCAGGACCAATATAAATTCTGTTTTGACGCCGTGTCGGCTTATCTGTCCTCATTCAATCTTTATGCCAACTTCAATGTCGACAACAAACCTTCAACATCAACGAAAGAAGAAAATTTGTACGCAAACATATGACATTTTAGAAATGCCCATGAGGAAAAATTAAAATTTGCAATGTTTGTTTATACGAAGATTGGTTACCGAGTAGTTGTACATGACAACTTCCTATCACAAAAAATTGACAATTTTATTTTCTGTTCCTATAATCCCAATTTTATTGTTCACTAATCAATATGTATGTATATACTATTATACGTTAGTTAACTTTGCATTTAATTTTATTTTCGCATTTAAATGACCTTGGCATCCCCTTGGTGTGTACTTGTAATGACTGCGATAGCTTCAGTAGTTAGAGAATCCTAAAAATAAGTATTTGTACAACTACATCTAATTTAAAAATATAATTAGCACATTTTATTAATATAAATATACAGTAGGATTAGCACCAATATATATGTTGAAAAAAAAATTAAATTGTTTAACTGTAATGGTAAGAGGAACAAAATGCATGAATTCGTGCAATCAGTTATGGTTATAGGTATAATTTTAGGCGTTGTACGCTGCGAATGCATGTCAATAAATGAAAATGAAAAAAATTGAATTATTCTTTTAGGCTAAGTTTAAACTAATTTCTGTCAATTTTGCTGTCCAAAACTAACCATGCCACTATAAATTGATTTTGCTGCGTATTAGATATTGTAAAAATGTTTTAACAAGTTGAAAGGCCTAAATCTATACTTGCAAAATATAATCTACAGTTCTAGATGAATTGTTGAATAGCCAATGATATATTTATGACATGTTCTGTCTTCTGTCCTCATGTCAAGTTTTTTCTATCAATTCGTCAATCGTGCAGAAATAATATTAAATATCAGCATATCAGAGTGGCAAATTCTAAATCGGTGGGTAGTGTGTGTACCAGGTTAGGGTTACGCCATAATTTCATTCTGATTTTCCTTATTTTAGTTCTATTACGAGTTCGGGGACTGTTTGTGTTAGCCAAGTGAATGTACATCTGCCCATAGGCTACCGTCTCTGTACACAACTTGAAGTAAAGTAGGCAAACGAAATTAGTTACCTCCATATTGGTACATGTACTTCAGGAGCGCCAATCAGTGTATATAAATTAGAGTATATTCTTCGAGTTCGAAACCTAAATTTTATTGAGATAAATTTGTACATTCTTTAACCACTTTGTTCCAACATAACTTCAGAATGAACTGCTTGCGCGTATCTTTAATAACGCAAACACACAATCAGTAATATACGCGCTGAGGTAACTCTAACAACACCATAATTTCGAAAATTCAAATTGCATATTGAAAAAAGAAACAATTTATATAAAAAAAATTAATCATACCACCGTCGCCATCTGCAATTGCGCTATATAATTAATTACCAGACATTCACCAATTACCAACATGATGAAAGTAACTTTAAATGAATATTGTATTATTTATGATGGTGGTGTAAAATGTAAATGATATTATAAATATTTAATAATAATAATTTTTCTCTTCTCATATTTAAATACTATTCAATATAGTCTTATTAAGGTATGTATTATTTTATGTGTGGAATTTTTCACTTAAATATTGCTTTTCCCCGATATTATGTATATATATTATATTAGTTGCTATGAATTATGATGTAAACAATTTTGTTTAGTAGGTATTTGCCTTTTTACATACATATATGTGGGTGTGTTCAATTGCAAAAATTTGGTCTGTTGCTTATGTCAGGTTTATTTATTACATTTCACAAACTTTATAAAGTAATTTGTAATTTTATTTTTACAAGTCAATTCAAACTACAACATGCAGCGATAATTTAGTTTTGGTATTGATTTACCAATCCAAGCCAGTAATTTTTCGGTAATTCACCCTAGAGAAAAATATGCCTGCAGTTTATGTGATATGTTGTATTGGTGTATTTTACAAATTGTCGAAGAACTTTAAAAAAATATATCGATTCTCACCATTTTAGTCTTCATGGTCTGGAATACTAATGTTCATTATGTATTTGTTGTTACATATTGTATTTGTTGTTAAAACATATTGTTGCTTCAATAAGTGTAATTATCTAATGATAATTTTAGTACTGTACAATCAATAAATCTGCGTGTACTTGTTTCAAAGTGATAGGTATACGATTAGGTATGGGGTTAAATTCAATCGCCATTTGAATGGCCTCCTCCGTAGCGGAAGGAAATATTGGGCTTCCATTATATAGAAGGTTGGATTTTGAGGGTAATAAACAATATGTGAATCGACAATCAAGTGCCATGTTTTTGGAAAGATTTGTTCTTTTATTAATGGGTTCAAATGTCTCTAGCCTTAATGTAAAATTGTGATAAATGTGTCATGGGCTGTGTACAACCAACATTAGGCTGATTTATTTTATTACGCGGGGACACACTTATATGAAATATAAAAACGCTTTATTTTTTTAGACTAGTCAGGCAATCTTTGCAACTAACTCGTATTCCAGCTGGGCAGACAGCTAAGGCCTTACTTTAACGCAGGGGTCACCAATCTTTCGAAGCCGAGGGCTACTTTCTGGGTACCGATTAAGCCGAGGGCTACCAGTTAAATGCACACTTTTAAAAGTTAATTTGCTCCATTAACCTTCAATTATTGATAAATATTGGTATTTAGTCAAGTAGAAACACTGATAAACTTTAGGATTCTTCAGAAAATCGAACGATTATAACAACGTAGCAAATAAATTACTAGCAATGACACTTCCATTTTCAAATTGATTTTAAAGTGATCACTATAATAATATCCTTGGAAACCACAGGTTCATAAGGTACCTACTATTTTACAAGCACCCTGCATAACCCTAAGATGGAATAAACTTAACAGTTGTACTGCCGAATGTTACATTTACAAACGCATTCAACTAATTATGAATATCTTGTTTTCAACAAGGAGAAAACCAAAATCGAACAAATCTGGTTTAATGCTCTCTACCAGTGTGGTGTTTTCCGCCGTGTAACTTGACACTGTAACTCTGAGCGGGTCTTGCAGATTTTCATCAGTAAGGCATATTTCGTGCTTAGTTCCTTGTGAAGTTCATGTCAAAAAATGTTGATCCACAAAGATGGCTTGAACCAAACTTTGAATCTCGTAACATAGGATTGCTGTTTGAAAAACTCTTTGTTTCCGGATATCTTATATATTCGCACTCCGCCATCCTGTCGCTCTAAACTCCCCGCAAATGAGACATACGCAAGCTGTTTTCACGGTGGTAAAGGGAAATGCACCTCCCATTCATCGTGAAAATGGTATGTTTTCTTTTGTTTTTCTGCCATTTTCTTTGAATTCTTTGGTATTGCTGCTCCACAAATCAACGGACACGAAAAACGCGGGTTTGTGGAAGGTGACATCTGTGACATATTTAGGAGAGTATTAAATGACCCGTCACATTATTATGGTCAAATAAAACTTGGAATGATCGTTACCATAATAACATAGTGTTATTTCCAGTTTCCAAATAAGACAAAAGTGTGATTTATACAAGAATAGCATGACAAAAAATTGATTGATGTAGCTTACTTATAAGCGCCGGTATTAAGCTAATTTTGGAACAGACCTGCGGGCGACTCATGTGGTCTTCACGGGCGACTTGGTGCCCGCGGTCAACGGGTTGCTGACCCATGCTCTATTGGTACCTTCGCGCGACTTCCGTGTTTATATATTTAGATAGTTATTCTTTGTTTCATATCACGATGTTATGAAATTACCTAAAAGCAACTATTTCCCGTCTTTCTTAAGCAGCATTGAGAATTGACTAAACTCAAACGATTTTATTTGAAGCAGCTTTAGACTAATGACAACCTATCATTGGTGTTTAAATCGCAGATTTATATTCTAAAATTATTATTTGGGTCGCATAATAAGATCTTTTCATTAAGTACATAGAAAAGAAATACAAAAAAAAATATATTTGGTTATGTAGTCTAGAAAATCAATTTCCATTAATATATTGTTGTTGAAATGAAAATCCGCCATATTGCTAAATACCAGCACCTAAAACTTGCCGCACTTAAAATGGGTAAAGAAATTCACTACTTTAGTTTAATACATAAGGCTAAGGCTATCAGAAAAATTTCGCCGATTGGTTTTGGCAAACTGGCTTTTTGTCAACTAATGACGAAAATCGCTCCCATATATATGCGCTACTCTCCGCTTTACGACCATAGTGTTAAAACATAGGTTACTTTAAGTTGAAATAGTGAAATCTTGAATTTTTTTGCATCTATACTGCTTGAGACATATTACTAAAACTAGTTTAGTTGTCTTTAGGCCAGAGTTAAGTAGGAATCTTGAAAACTATACCATATCGCGGCTTGGTAGTTAGTGATGACCCCCGTTTATATTCGCACTAGAAAAACGGTAATTACTAAAATTTACGATTTGCGGACATTCAAACAGTACTTCATATTAATTTCTAGTAACGTCAACACCTAACAGCTTTCAATGGGACTAAACGCCACAACAAACCTGTTTTTTGATTAGATAAAAAGTTCAAACATGCAAAAAGTACGATATTTGCACAGTTCTTGCCTAGTCGTAGTCTCCGCCTTGTTCAAATATTACAAAATGCGTCTGAAATACAATGAATAAACGACATGTGTGACTTTAAACCAATGTAAACCTAGCTCTCGGGGGTTAAAAGTTCCATGACTCGAACCTGGCTTCAATACGAAATTCGACCTTTTTTGCTTACCAAAGAACACACATCTGACTCGCGCATTCAAACTGAGTAATTTTTTGAAAATATTTTCGGTCGAGGTTGCAAATTCGAGTGCATGTACCTAATAAGTATTCACAAATAGATTACAGTTTGAAGCACTTTTCATAGAAAGTATACTTTAACACCTAACAGTGGTGTACATAAAAAATTGGCAATGACAAACAACATTTAATCCCCAAAATACGGCTTTGTTTGGACTGTAGCTTAAAATCAAGTGTCAGTTTTGTCGTCTAAAATATTGAAACAGATTGGAAATGAATATGTATTGATTTAAATACATGCTTAAATTCTTTAAATTCATCATACTAAATGTTCGCAAAGATATAGAAGCCGAAATAACACATACATTTTCTTCGACATCGCACCCCGGCACCTTCCAACAATGCCTGAAAGTCATTTCAATTTTAATAGATTTGAATGATTTCATGCAGTTATATTGAAACTCATTCACGTATAATTGAAGATCTTGCAGTACTTTACACGACCTTGTGATTTTTTATGACAAGGAAAATAAGACAATTTGAGAGTATTTCAGCAATATTGCTCGACGAAGTAACAAACCTCGGTTCATAAACAATAATCCGGCTTGCCAAAACGAGTAACGGCCCTGCTTAACAGTAATGTGTTGCGGCCATATGGATTTTTTTGTGTTTTCAAAATTAAGGCAGTGGCATAGACAGTGGCATTTGTCCTTATATATCACTAATCCAATTACTGATTATCATGAAATTCGATCTACTCGATGGGCTAGTCAACGATGGACCAAACAACAAATACATCAATCGTGGATGTACAGTTGGTTAGAGCGGAACTTAATGGTAACATCAGGCGGGCCAGTCCAAAAAACCATAAAAAAAAAACAGTTTAAGCTTGTGAGCAGTAGTCCGACCATTGCTGTTTTGTGCGCGGATAATAAACGAAACATCTTTGCGACGGGTCGCAATCTGAAAAGGGTCACACAACCTACCACGAACTTACAAGTTACAATCAATTTAACGGGTGGAAACAAAATACTTAAGTGCACAAAAAGACTTTAGCTTTGCAGTATTCTTTGATAGCCCGGCTTTTAACAGACAACAGACAATACCAAACCGGCAGCGGTTGGGGTAACACTGAATTCTGAGCAAAATTTTCAAACTAAAGATAATGTACGGTACTGTATTGTGAATTTCGCTTGGGTAGTTTTTGCTCAACATACAAATACATATTCATGCAAACCATATATAAAGAAAGTTTAATAGGCATAAATACAAAACGTAAGACTAAAATGGTGATTAAATATACGGCGCCCGACGTATATACTTTTTCATGGTAATCAATCAATTGTTCGAATAATCATCAACAGATTCCCGCCAATTAAGACTTCTTGTGAGTTAAGGATTACTTTTGGAAATTTCCCGTTGTTAACAATTTTTAATACAACGCAATGAAGTATGTAGGTTTATATACGTGAATTATGTGATTCCTCCTTTTATTCTACCGCAAACCATAACGATAGCATAACATAAATCTTCCTGTACGTGGTGTCATTGATGGAAATCATATTGAGATTGTATATATTCGAGCATATGGGAAGTATGAAATATTATACGACATCCTGGCTTTTCTGTTCATAAGTTCACAGGTTCGTCAGTTTGCTTCAACAGGATTGCAGCGCAATATCGATTGCAATTATAGACATAAATACGTTATCCAGTCAGGTTGGATTGTATTTTGTAATATCACAGTTCGATATCCATTACTAAATAAAATCGGGATCAAAAGTTTCAAAATACCTGACGTACATGAAATACTTTATATAAATGCGTCACTTGGTACTCATGAGAGAAATACCAAAGTCAATAGAGCTATACGTACAAAAAACTGAACTATTAGAACCGGTATAACGTATAAATTTGTAAAATGTTTTAGGATTTTAATTCAATCCACCTAATTGTGTTATCTCCGCGATTTAACAGTAAATATTGGACTATTTAGATATGACCTTCATCAATATTAACATGCCCTAACGAAACCTGCTCCAATCATGGGAACTGCATTGTGGCAACTGAGAAAGACAGATACAATTGCACTTGCGAGCAAAGATATTTTGAAACAAATCGTGAGAGTGGTAAATATGCCCTATCTCTCGTTGATTTATTCACTATAACACATAAAGGATGAATAATGTGCAAGATCGTCTTTTTTGAAAGTATTTCTCTTGATGAAACAATTACGTATTTTTAGATGAACCTATTGCACATAGCATTTCGTATTTTTCGGACATAATTCTTCAAAAAATTAAAAAATCTAAACCGGAATTTCAAACGTTGAT